CTCCAAACATGAAACTACTATTACAAATTACCATCTGCAGTGCCGTAGCTTAGTTCACAGGTATCAGTATATATAGTTAGTCAGGGTGAGAATCTTTCCAGTTAACTGCTAGATTAATGTTTTTGTTTTGTTTTTTTGTTTTTTTGTTTTAAGGCACGAGCGATCAAACTCAGGACCTTGTATTTGCCAGGCAAGCCATTAAGCCGCTGAGCTATTTCCCTGGCCTGCTGCTCACTAATTCTGCAAAGCATTGTTTTCCAAAAGCTTTCCTTGTGCAGTATTAGCCTCAATCACTAGCTAAGGGACTTCTCTGAGTGAGCATCCTAAATACAAAAGAAAATGATTGAGTTCTGTCTTCTCATCATCCCAATCCTTAAGAAATGGGATTCTGACTTAAGAGAAACAATGAAGGAGCCAGGAGATGGCTCAGTAGAATAAGCATTTGCCTGGCAAGCGCAAGGGCTTGAGTTCAGTCCCCAGTTCTGCCAGAGAGAGAGAGAGAGAGAGAGAGAGAGAGAGAGAGAGAGAGAGAAAATAAGCGTCAATAAATTATTACACATGAATTAAAATATTTTTATGTACTCACCTTACCCTTCCTTGGGCACTTAGCAAAGTGCTATGGGCATTCAAGAAAACCAGGCTATCACAGTGGTACAGTCCAACCAGGTTTTTTTGTTGTTGATAACAGTGATCAAACTCAGGATTTCGCACTGGCCAGGGAGGTGCTTATGCCAGTGAGCTATCCCCCTGGCCCCTGATCATATTTTAAAGTAATAAAATTCTTGGCTAGTAGGTCAGCAGCCACTCCTGGGAGTATCTACAGTCCACCTTTGCCCTGGTATCTTCCCCAGTCCTCCATATCTCAGGAGGTTAAATGGGCACTCCATGTCCACAGTGTTTTAAATGTGAAATATTGGCACTGTTACCTCCACAGGAAATGAAGGCTCTTGTACAAAAGTCCCAGGAATACTGAGTGGGGCGTAGACTAGAGTCCTCGTCAAGCTTTGTTATTAGCTAACTGTATGTGATACTGGCTAAGCCTGTGCACATGGCATACTCAGGCCCATAGTTAGAGCAACGCCACCTAAATACTGTATGAGACTGTTACAAGAGATTGCAGTGAAGTTTGAGGCTAAGGTACATGTTATATGTTGTGTTGTCTGTGGAACTGTTATCACTGTGTTAGCTTAATTCTTTGTAAGAAAACGTTTTCAGGGTAAGCACTGATACATCCGCAAATGATGGTAGTCAGTCTTAAGCTTGGTGGCAAGTCTTGTCTTTGCAGAAGACTTGCAGAAAATAGGTTTTTGATTACTGACTCCATGAACTTCTTAAGTGTTTACTCTGTAATTCTGCTAAAGATACCTTTTAAAAACACTAGGTTTTAGGGCTGGCCAAATAGCTCAGCGGATTAAAGTGCCTGCGTGCAGAGGCTGGGGGTTCATTTGGGCCTGCCTTGCCAGCCCCCACGCGCCCCCCCGCCAGGGCAGGCTGAGACAGCAGTTTTGAGACTGGATGAGGTGGCGCCCACAGTTCTTGGGAGGCTGTAAACAGTCAGATCACTATGAGTTGAATCAAATAAACCCTGAACACCCTATGTGCCCTTCCCTAAAATACAAAACAAAAAACAAATAAAACTAGGTTGTGATGAAAAGTGTTACCACTGGTGTTCTTATTTTTTGCTCATCATATTAGGTGTGTATCAAATCAGAAGACAGATCAGAGCCCATGATGGCAGTGTGTTCACACTGTGTCAGCTGAGAAATGGGACCTTATTAACTGGAGGAGGAAAAGATAGAAAAATAATTCTCTGGGATGACGTTCTGAATCCTGAAAGAGAAATAGAGGTAAGGATAAAAATGGAACATGAAGATATTAAAAATTCTATCCTTGTCATTTTTTTCCACATTATGATAATTTCACTTTTCAGGGAAACTGTACATTTTTATCATTTCACTCTTCCCATAGAGGAAAGAGTTTGTTACTACACAGAATAATTTGTTGTTAAAAATAATTTAAAAGAATTTTTTTTAAGTTACTGTTTTAAATTTCTAAAACCTTTTGTACTGATCCAAAAATATAACTATCCAAACTTTAATTTGGCAAATAAGAACACTGCTCGGGCCCAGGGTATACAAAACCCAGACATGGGTCAGGGTCGGATTCCTGGCAGGCATGCCGTCCTGGCCCCGCCCCTGGGGTATGCTGAGATGGTGATGGAAACTGGGCAAGGTGGAGACCCTGGACATGAACACAGGCGGATCACTAGGAGTGTACTCTTAAAACTTTTTTTTTGTGGTACTGGGGATTGAACTCAGGACCCTGCACTTTCCAGGCAAGCACTTATTCTACTGAGCTATCTCCCTAGCCCAGTTTTAAAACTTTAAAATGTTTTAAACTCATCCTTAACTGAGAGCTGCTAACTGTATGTGAGTATGTCTGTACTGTGGCCTGGCAGAGGTATAACCAGGACACCTAATGAGCATTACATCCTCAGTGAACGTTGGCTAGTTAAATTGAGATCTCAGGAAATAAGTTGAGAGTAGTAGTTTAGATCAGTGATTCTTAAACCAAGACTAAATCTCAGTCTAACGTTGCTTCTATTTTTTTATTATTACTATTTAAATTTTGAATTTATGGGCCAGCAAGATAGCTCAGCAGACTAAGTGCCTGCTTAGTTAAGCACAGGGACTAGGGTTCAACATCTGGCACCATATGCTGTGCTGGCCCTGCCCCCAGGCACACTGAGCCAGCCACTAAGTCTGGGCATGGTGGTGTGTGCCAGTAACCCCAGCGCTGAGGAGCTGGGGAGGCTGAAAAGAGGAGGCTCACTAGGAGTCCAAGCTGCATAGTGAGACCCTGTACCAAAGACATTTAAAAAAAAAAAAAATTGAATTTATGCTTTGTGTTTTTTAATAAACATAAGCTGCTTTCCAGACAAAGTCTTCTGTAAAGAAGAGAATCCTGAGTATTGTTGTTGTATTTTATTTCCAAGAAGAGCTGCTTTATCACAACCTTAAGTTCATATTGGAAATATCACTTCCTTCCCTATTTCACATTTGTGTAATCAAAAACTGCAGACTAGGGGCTTGTGGGCTAGCTCAGTTGTTTAAGTGCCTGCTTGGGCAAACCCAGTCAGGCACAGGGGACGCGATTCAGTCCCCAGTTCCACAGGCCATACCAGGCCCACCCTTCAGGCAGCTTGAGCCTGCCCCAAAAAAAGATCCTTCTCAACTTTTGGGCTGGCCAAATAGCTCTGTGGATTAAAATGCCTGCTTGAGCAAACACAGGGGTCAGGGTTTGATCCCCAGCAGGCATGCTGTGCTGGCCCTGCCCCTGGGTCGTGCTGAGATGGTGATTGAGACTGGGTGCTGTGGCGCACCTGTAATCCCATCTTGTGGGAGCCTGAACACAGGTGGATCACTAGGATTCGGATCTACGTAGTGAGACCCTAGAGACCCTGTACTAAAAAAAGCCCTACCAAATAGCTCACACCTTCATTGCTATTTCTAACGAATTTGGAATACTTGTGTTTTCAGGAAGCGTGGGCTGGGGAGATGGCTCGGTGGAATAAGCACTTCCCTGTCAAGCACAAGGGCCTGAGTTCAATCCCTGGTTCTGCCAAAAAAAAAAAAAAAAAAAGGAATCGTATAGGTTTTGTTGTTTTAGAAAACCCTAGATTTTGATGCAAAGTATTATCACTAGTGTTTTTATTTTTTGCTCATCATATTAGGTGTACCAGCCCTCAGTTATTTGGGATCCCACTGCACAAAGGAGACCTGAATTATTTCAGTTATTCTTTGGGATCATTATAATTATTAACATTCACAAAGTGTACCATGTAATAAACTCCCAAATAAGCCTCTTACAGTTATAATTCTTTATAATGCAGTCATGCTCAGTATCCACAGATGAGGATTAAATCCAGGGCCCACTACAGCACCATGCATACCAAAATCTGGATGTTAAAGTCCCATATCTAAAATAGCATGGTAGTTGCATATAACTTCTTCACATCCCACTGGGTACTTTAAGGCATTTATACATTACAATACCTGCTGCAGCGTAAGTGCTGTGTAAACTGTCATTGCTACTGTACTGGTCAGAAGGTAATGACAAAGGAAGAGGACTGCATAGCTACAGGACAGATGGAAGTTGACTGAATCCTCAGATGCAGAACCCCCAGACATAGAGGACCTGCAGTCAATTGTTTTGTAGTTTAAAAAGAAATCTTATATGTATTGTTCTTGATTTTGGCCCTTAGAATACCAGTCGGGAGTAGGTATAACGTGTATCATTATATATCCCATATTTCAGGTGAAGTAATTTTTCTTAAGCTAATTGACTTACCCAAAGTAACATAAATAATAATTAATAAACATAGACCATTCTTGATTTACTCTAGTGGAGCTTACTGTTTTTTGTTTTTGTTTTTACTGTTTCTAACCCTTAGCTCTTGAAATCATATAAACTACAAACTTAAAATTAACAGAAACTGGCTGGGAATATAGTTCAGTGGTAAGAGCATGTGTGAGGCCCTGGGCTAGATCCTTAGCACTTTAAAAAAAAAAGACGTGAAGCAAAGAATGCTGATAATAATGCATGATAACTTCTCTGCAATAAAATTTGATTATCTGAGTAAATAACAGTGTATGATTATTGTATTGTCTTCAGGCTTAGAATTTTGTCATTCATTAGTCTATAATTACCACTATAAATACAGCTATTGTTCTGGTAGTACTTAATGCCTTTTAGTGTGTATGTGGTAACTTTTCACATTTTTTCTAGGTCCCTGATCAATATGGCACAATCAGAGCTGTAGCAGAAGGAAAGGCAGATCAATTTTTAGTAGGCACATCACGAAACTTTATTTTACGAGGAACATTTAATGATGGCTTCCAAATAGAAGTACAGGTACACGGTATTATGGCAGTGATTAAATGAATATTTTATGATACCCTTTGGTTTCATGATTCTAATAGTGGGTGTCTTTCATTTTCCAGGGGCACACTGATGAACTCTGGGGCCTCGCCACACATCCCTTCAAAGACTTGCTCTTGACATGTGCTCAGGACAGGCAGGTGTGCATGTGGCACTCAGTGGAGCACAGGCTGGAGTGGGTCAGACTCTTGGATGTGAGTAAAGCACGTGTGGTAAATAATTTCCCCACACGCTGTCCCCACTGTGAGCAGCAGCAGGATATAAAAGCATTGGTTCAAGACCAGAGTAAGACGGGCCGGTGGCATAGCTCAGCAGACTGAGCGCTTGCTTAGGTAAGCGCAGGGGTCAGGGTTCAATCCCTGGCACTGCATGCTGCCCCAGCCCTGCCTCTGGGCGATGGAGTCTGGGTATGGTTGCGCGTGCCTATAATCCCAGCACTAGGGAGGCAGAAAACAGGAGGATCAGTATGAGTCTGAGCTGCATAGTGAGACCCTGCACCAAAACAAAGGAGTAAGAGGGACCTCTCAAGGTATAACATGGCCCTGCTTTAAAGTAGAAGCTCAGTTTTTCTGTTTCATAATAAAAATTATAAAGATTTCACGTATTATTTAATATTTGGACCTCTGGTAGTGTCGAGGGTTGGAGTAAGTGCTACTCACTGACAAACTTTGCTGTCTCCTTTTTTGAGTGGTGTCTTAGTGCATTTGCTCCTGTGACACCCACCTAACCGCCTTTTCCAGTCCAGAAGGTGTATGTAAGTTCTTTGCAGACTCCAGAGAACTGCCTGCTGTTACTCCTCTGACCCACTGCCTGACCACAGCAAGTTCCTCCTTCCTCCCTCTCACCCCACTGGTGCATCCCCTTAATGCTCTGAAGTCTTTTTCCTTTCCTGTCCAGCCCTTCTCGCTGGCCATCGTAAAGTTGATCAGCATTCCATGTTTATGTGAAACAAGCTATGTTAAAGTGTTTTTCCCACGCAGATGTCTGTGCCTGTCCCACGTACTCCCCAACAGCTGTTTTGTCTCTTCCAGGAACCAGGACACTGTGCAGATTTCCATCCCAGTGGCACCGTGGTGGCCATAGGAACACACTCAGGCAGGTAGGCTCATTACGTGAGCTGAGTAATCAGCCTGGTGGGATGTTGATACTGTTCCTCGGGCATGTGTTGGGCTCCTCTGGAGCATGATCTGTTCGTTCTTTCTTTCTTTCTTTCTTTCTTTCTTTCTTTCTTTCTTTCTTTCTTCATTTATTAGTATATATATTTTTAAATTTTACTGAGAAATTGCAGTGAGGCAGTTTCAAAACAGATTGGTAGAGGAGCATGATCTTTTCAGCGGCACACTAACATGCCTGCCGATGTCCTCTTTAGGTGTTCTCACACAGCTGTTCCTTATAAGCACTGCCTTTCCTTTCCTGCATCCTCCTGTGGGCTTTTGGGATATATCAGAGGGAAAACCAGAGTCTTCTTTGGTGGAGTCCACATTTTAATGTGCGTGAGAAGTGTAAGCAAAGTAAAAACTAACCACTGTAACTAATGATGTAACCGACAGAGGGAGGGAAGAAGATGTAGGAGATGAGGAGCGGGGTGCAGTGCTCAGGATCAGCTTCACTGAGGATGTAATAGAAGGCTTGGCTTTCCTCTGCGGAATTAGAAATGTCAAAATTTTTCTCATTGTCCTTTGGGCAGGGAAAGTATTTGAAGCTTGCATAACTTAATTGAGTAACGTTTATTATCTGTATTATTTGCTGCTTTTGGCTTTTTTGAGACAGGGACTCAATATGTAGTTCAGGCTGGCCTCTGATTGATTGCTGGTGATCCTCCTACCTCAGTTGAAATTATAAGTGTGCGACATTATGTGTGCCAGGCTTATCTGGGTATTTTTAATGAATGCCTACTTAGTGTGCTTGCTGATACCTCATCCCTCCATGTATGACTCAGTTTCCTCGTTAGTCTATGCGTTTCCAAGTGAGCACCTTAATTTCCTTTTTAAGAGAGCAGAGAAAAAAATACGAAGTCAGGGGCCTGCCCCTTAGCTCAGTTCTCTAAGTGGCTGCCTCAGCAAAGCAGTCAGGCTCAGGTTGCTGCGGTTCAGTCCCCACAACTCAAGCCGGCCAAACCTGCCCTGAAGGCATTCAGAGAAAAAAAAATAGTCAATTTTTACAAGAATTAAACTGATTTTAAAAATCTGACATGCTGATTCTAGTAGTGTGAAACTTATTGTGAACACAATCATATTAAATACCATCTACTTATTTAACTTAAATATTTCAAATAGTTCATTTAATTCTAAATTTAGACATTTGAAGTTTATTATAGCACATTTTCTCCTTTGGTTTTGGATATAAATTAATGCCTTTGAAAGCTGAAAACATTGAAATTCTTTTTCAGAATATAGTGCAGCAAACCATAAAGCTTTACTGTCTCAGGTTTGCATGTGTCAGTAATAGAGTATTATAGGATTTTTAAAACATTCAGTCTTGGACCAAACAGACGTATATAATAGGTCACTTTGTAGAACTTTATTCAAAAGTTGTTTTCTTCTTTAACAACAAAAACAGAATTGGTCTTAATTAAGCACGTGAGAAACCACTCAAGCTGTAGTGCCGGTCTGGTTTTGACTTCTATCATTTAACCATCTAAATTGCACAAATGTTAATGTCACTGAAGTAAGAACAGGAAGAAGTACCCGCTGCGCAGTGTTGCTGACAGACTTTGTGCGGTGTTCTTTTCCTTTTTTCTTCAGTGTACACTGGCCTCACCGCTTAGGTCTCATCTTAGCACGGAACGCACAGAGTCTGTGTAAGCTGTGCTGTGTCTACCCTAGGAGGCAGCAGCATGCAGGGGTGGGAAAAGGAGCACGAGCGGAAGGGAAGGCGACAGCGATGGCTTTGGCAAGGAAGCAGGGCAGAAAGCGAGGCCGGGGGAGTGGGCAGGTAGAAAACTTAAATTTGTTGTGTACGTGGATTCAGAGTCCTGGAGCTAAAGAGACACGGGATCGAGCTCAACTCCTCAGTTTTGGTAGCAGCCTCAACCTTGAGCTGGCCAGGAAGGAGCTGAAATACCATGAACAGATTCCAGCCCAGAAACCACTGATTGTGAAGGTTCTGAGCCTGAAAGAAGCTCTCCTGTTCAAAAATGAAGTGTCACACATATATTAGCAATAGCTAACTGAGACATAAAGGAGAAAACTAATTAAAAGAAAACAAATTTTTCCTTGTATGTTTTGGTGTGAATTAACATGACTCATGACTACTGCTGAGTTAATTTACCAGGGTCCACAGAGTCTTTGAACTCTAGCAGCAGACTAAATCTCCCCATGTTCTGTCTCCTTTGAACTCCAATTCTGAGTCACTTTTCAAAACTTTATGGAGCACACCTGCATCTTTAAAGCACTGCAGTTGATCAGTAATTGTCACAAAGAAATACGAACTAGGCATGGTGGTGCATACCTGTAATCCCAGTACTCGAGAAGCTGGGCCAGGAGGATTGCCATGAGTTCAAGGCCAGCCTGCACTACATAGTGAGATGCTGTCTAAAAAAAAAACAAAAACAGTTAAAACAAGTGCAAGGCCAGCCTGAAATGTATAGTGAGACCTTGTCTCAAGAAAGAGAGACATGGGCTAGGGATATAGCTCAGAGGCATAAGCACCCACCTGACAAGTGCAGGGTTCCAAGTTTGATCTCTGGTACCAAAAAAAAAGGGACATGATCTAAGTACTACGTAAAAAGATAACATCTGAGTAGTTTAATATTGCTTAAATAGAGGGGCACTAATTATGATAGATCAGCAGAAATCATTGTGAACCTGGTCAGAGAAAGCTTGCCTTCAAGGCAAGAGAAAACTGGAGAGGCAAGGAAAGAAGAGCTCCTATCAAGTGGAAGGATCTGATTAAGAAAACTCAGGAAATGAGCACACCATACCCACTGGGATTGAACCATTCTCAATGATTTTTGATGCCTAAACTGTAAAATCCAAACTTGTTAATCTGACTTTTTAAAAAAATTTTATGTACTTAGTACAGGGTCTCATTACACAGCTTGGACTTGTAGTGATCCTTCTGTCTTCAGTCTCCCCAGTGCTGGGATTACAAGCATGTGCCACCTTGCCGAGACTTGGTCGCCAGCTCAGTGCTCCCAGGAGCGAGGCAGGCACGGCATGTCATACTGGGGATCGAACCCCAGTCCCTGCGCTTGCCTAAACAGGCGCTTAGTCTGCTGACCTATCTTGCGGGCCCAGTCTGCTTCTGAAAGCTCCCTGGATCTTTGCCTTACCCCCCAGCTGGAATGGCTAAGTGGCCGTTCACATCCCTGCCCCTGTGTTGTTACTTGCCTCCTCCTGTCCATTTAGCTCCCACCTGTCCCTGGCACATTTGTGGCTTCGTTGTCCTTGTGCCTTGTGTTACTCTGTACCACTTATTTCAGTCTGTCTCCCCACGCACACAGTAAATGCCAGGCTCCTTTTCTGGTCTCCTTGCTCCTCAGGATCCCCAGATGTTAGTGTGTCTCAGAGACAGCGTCATTGGTGTAGTGAAAAGCACCAGAGCTCTGCCTGGATGCCGCCCCCTCGTGAGCTGGTCGATGTTCAGGCAGTGGTTTTAGTCATCACATTGCGGCACCGTTCTTATGAAGTAGGAGGCTGGAGTGGAGCTTGCTTCTGCATTTTGGACTCTACATTTGTCTAATTATAAAAACCATTGTCTAAAAATAACAGATGGGGATAAGTTAATCATTATGGAAATATCTCAATGCATAAATAAAAAAGATATAGAATTATTCACTGACTTAACTCCATATGAATTAATGAACAACATTAACAGTTAGTATGAGTATTGACATTATAAAATGAGACAACCAGAAACACGTGATTCCTGAAGAATACAGTGTTACTCCAAAGTAGTCTTAAGTCCCAAAATATAAATAAATAAGCAAAAAAAAACCAAAACCATTGTCTAATTATAAAAACCGTGATAGCTGTCTTTTATAAGTAAAAAATCATAAAAAAAAGGTGTTTACAAACCTGCCCCCAGAGGACAGTCGGTATTATATTGTAATAGGAGTATATTTTTGTAATTTTACATCATGAACAAGAGATAGAGTCATTTAAGAACTTGAAGGTGCTTTGCAGCTCTAATCTTTTCAGCCATTAGTCCAGTATCTTCACACACTCACGCTGGCTTGAGCCACCAGTGTGGGACATGCACGGCTGGGACTGTCCCTTTTGGCAACTTGTGCTGCTGGTGGTTTAAACAGATCTAATCACTTTTATCAGTCTTTTCACTAATAAAATTAATAAAAAGCTGCTCGATGGGACAGTCATACATATACCACCAGTCAGCAGTAGAGAGAAACATGTTAAAAAGTCATCAAGAGGGGCCGGGGAGATGGCTCAGTAGAATAAGTGCTTTAATAAGTGCTTGCCTGGCAAGCGCAAGGGTCTGAGTTCAATCCCCGGTTGCACAAAAAAAAAAAAAAAAAAAAAGTCATCAAGATAAGCCTACAGGGTGGCACAAAGCAGTAATCCCAGGTACTTAGGAAGCTGAGACAGAAGATTGCAAGTTGAAGGCCATCTTGGTAATAGCTGGACACTGCCTCAAAATAAAGACTAGGGGGCCGGCCTGGTAGCTCAGAGGACTAATGCGCCTGCTTAGGCAGAGTGCAGAAGCCGGGGTTCCATCCCCTAGCACACGCTGAGATGGCAGTTGAGACTGGATGTGGTGGCATGCACCTGTAATCCCAGCACTTGGGAGGCTAAAACACGATAATCACTATGAGTCCAATCTATGTAGTGAGACCCTGTATACTCTGTGCTAAATGCATTAAAAATAATAATGAAGGCTGGGGTTGTAACTCGGTGGTAGGGCACTCAGGTAGCAGGTACAAGGCCCTGGATTCAGTGCACATACTGTCTTTTAGTTACTTGGCTCACAAATCAGGTGAATATAAATATTTGGTCAAAGATTTCCTATTTTTTTGTTTCTAATGACTACATTTAGAAAGGTCCAATAAGTCCTTTAGGCCAAACAGAGTCCCATAATAACTGCATATTACCATAAAACAGAAATGTGTGTCTAACCTATATACACTCCGGAGTAGTGCTGCTGAACTTGTGGCATGAGGGCCACAGCGGGCTGCACCTCTGAAAGCTCTGAAGGGTTCACCATGGCGTCTTACTTTCTGCTTTAACCATGACTAGCAAAGAGACACAGTGAATACCTAAGTGGAAATGAGAACATGGCTAGAGTCATTCAGTGCCCTCACGCCCTCACGTCCTCAACCCTTTCTTATTCTGAGACAGGCTCTGCACGTTGCTCAGACTGGCCTTGAATTCAGGATTCTCCTACCTCAGCTTCCTGCGTAGCTGCGATTGCTACGTGTACCACCACACCAAGACCATATAAATTTATTTATGTCGTCTGTGGCAGCATTAAATAGATGAATTTCTCTCTTTCATTGGAAAAAGGAAACATGTCGTACTTAAAGATTGTTGCTGATATTTTTAAAACTAATAATGGACAGAAAGGAACCATTTTTTCCTTAAGTGCTAAGATACGAAGAATTTTTTTATTTTTACTTACAGGTGGTTTGTTCTGGATGCAGAAACCAGAGATCTAGTTTCTATCCACACTGACGGGAATGAACAGCTGTCTGTGATGCGCTACTCAGTAGGTAGGCGAAAGCCCCGGCCTGGAGTTCGCAGCACTTGGCTGCTATTATTGCATAGTTTTGCTTCCGATAAAACGGACTCCTTTTTTCTCTGCTCTCTAAAGTTAAGTATCAAATTAGTTTCCTAAACATCAAATTCCACTGCTAAAAACTATAAAATATTTGCTGAAGTTAAACAGTAAATCATCAAGCAAACACTTAGAATGAACTGTTACAGTTATATTTACACTGAAAACAAAGTACAATGAAATCCCTGTTTTTATATCTATTATGCATATGTAAAATTTTGAATTAAGCTGGATTATTTCATCTAGTTAGCAATCTTTTTATACATTATAGTATTAAAAAGTTACAATACTCAAAATGTACAAATACTGGCCACAAATATTCAAGTGCTTTAGAACTCAGTTATAGTATTACTAGTTACTTGGTAATGATTGACTTTTTTTTTTTTTGTACTGGGAATTGCACTCAGTATCTTGTGCTTTCCAGGCAGGCAATATGCCCTAGAGCTACTTTCCTGGCAGCAGTTCATTATAACAAAACAATGAGTCTAGGTCTGAGTAATTCTCAGTACTGTACTATTTCCATATAATACACTTATTGGCTCTTCCCACACCCCTTTTTTTCTGTCTTTTTGAGATAGGGCCACCCTGTGCAGTTCAGGCTGGCCTTGAGCTCACTTTGAAGCCCAGGCTGGTCTTCAAACTTACAACACCCCTCCTGCCAAATAACAGTTACAATGATAAGATTTAACATTTGCAAAGTATCAGTATAGATCTAGTAAACTAGCAATAAATCTGTCAGCTTATTTCTCTGGTGAACATTTTCTCCTGCTTCATTCTAGATGGTACCTTCCTGGCTGTAGGATCTCATGACAACTTCATTTACCTCTATGTAGTCTCAGAAAATGGAAGAAAATATAGCAGATATGGAAAATGCACTGTAAGTAGTGATGTAAAATATATTAAGTTGTGAAACTCCTGGGAAAATTGGCTTCTTAAAAAAATTAAATGTCTATATTAATATATCTTGTTTTCTAGTGTTAGCTAGTTTAAACTTTAATCTCTATCTTTAAAAGTTGAGATTACCTAAGAGTACGTTGTAGTTCCCTCTTGCCTCCAGAACACTTCCTTCTGACGTGAGTTTAATATTTGTCCCTTTAGTTCATCGTAAGGGAGTTTCTTAAAGCCATTTCTGTGAGCAAAAGTATGAGTAACACTTTTTCAAAATAGAAGAAGTTGGGGGCTAGGGAGATAGCTCAGAGGCTTAAATGCCTGCCTGGCAAATGCAGGGTCATGAGTTCAATGCCAAGTACCCCCCAAAAAAAGAGAGACATAAAAGGCCTCTGACTTAATCTTATGTCCCACCCCTGATACTCTAACCTGTATCTCCTCTGCTGCTAAAAATAATTTATAGACATGTCTGCATTTCAGAGTTAATAAAAACATACTTCCTGTGATTTGCTGCCCATTTCTAATTTGACTAATTATTTTTATAAGCCATAAATTAAACTCTGTAGAAAGTTGAGAACATTCTCTGTGGCAGGAATCTACTAGCTAGAGAAATTGTCTAGACACCAGGATCTTGTGCAAGATAGATCCGGCGCTCGGCTCAGCTGGGGGGGGGGGGGAGACTCAGCAGTAGAGCACTTAACGGCCGGCCGGCCTCGCCCATCCCCAGCCTGGTTGTTTCAGAGCACAGACTACTCTGATTTAAGTTCTTCCTCCCTCCTGACCCTGAGGCCATGTGGAGCAGATTACCTAAAGCATGGACTTCAGCTTTCTCACTTATAGAAAATAGTAGCACTTTTGAGTTCACAGAATTAATGCTGTTTAATGCATATAAAATGCTTAAGGTAGTGTTTAGCCTGTAAGTGCTCAATAAATGCTAACTGTAGAAAGTGAAGCAGCTCAGCACATATGTTAGGACATGAACTTAGGGTTAGAGATCACATGATGAGTTAATGTCACAGATCATTAACAGTCCTTATCATAGTACAGTTCATTTTGGGAGATTCAGTAGAATAATTCTCAGAAACATATATATCCAATTTTTTGTGGGGGCGGGGGGGCTCCAGGAATCAAATTCAGGACCTCACACTTGCCAGGCAGCCGCCTTGCTGCTAGATATATTCCCAGCCATACACATATAATAAGCAAAATAAACTGCAGTATGAGTGTGCAGTTTATTTTTACTGTATACAGATGAAGTTTCTCTTATCCAAAATTCTTGCCCAGGTTTTGATGCCTAGCAGAGAGGGAGAAGGAAGCAGGAAGGAAGTTTAGGACCAAAAATGTTTGAAAGTTTGGAGATTGTTAGATTTTGGAATGTGTGTGTATTCGTGCTGAGGTACCTTGGTGATGGGACTGTAGTCTGGATGTCTGCCTGTTTCATGTACAACTGACATACTTACACTGATGGTAATTTTTATGTGCTGTATTTTGTGCATGTCAGGCCGCCTGTGGCAAGAAGTCAGGCGTGGAATTTTCCACACATCTATCATATGGACCCGCAAGAGATTTAGATTTTCGAGCATTCTGGATTGCACATTTTTGGACTAGGGATGCTCAGCTTGTATAAGCAAAGGCAGGCAATTCACTATTTGAGAAAGACTTGTGTTGTGTATATATTGTATATTTGTAACGTAGGTTAAAATCAGTCCATTTTTAAAGTGATCTGCATGCAAACTCAACTATGAAACTTAACCAAAATATTTTTGCCTTAAAAACAATTACAGAGCTGGCCTGATAGCTCAGCAGACTAAAAGCGCCTGCTTAGGCAGAGCGCAGCGGCTGGGATTCGATCCCCAGCCTGCCATGCTTGCCCTGCCGACGGGGCACACTAAGACAGTGACAGACTCAGCATGATGGCGCGTGCCTGTAATCCCAACACTTGGGAGGATGAAAACAGGAAGATCACTACAAGTCCGATCTACGTAGTGAGACCCTGTAGACCCTGTCCTAAAAGACAGGGAAAAAAAAATTATAAATCATCCATTAATTGTTTTCATTAATATGTTTAAATCTCTTTCTGTTGTTTTTGGTAGCACTGGGGATTGAACACTGGGCATTTGCACTGAACTCCAACCCTAGCCTTTTTCAGTTTCTGTTTTTTGGGATAGGGTCTCACTAAGTTGCCCAGGCAGTGTTAAGACTTGTGGTCGGTCCTCCTGCCTAAGCCTCTCAGCCCGCTGGGGTTCCAGGTGTGCAGCCCTGTGCCCAGCGAGTTCACCAACTTCATGTTTGTGATGTGTGAAATATCTATAGCCTCAAATGAAATGTTCCACTGTAAGGAATTTTCAGACTAGTTAAAAATGTATCGTTCTCCAGATTTTTGCTTTTTAAAAAGTTTGATTTCTTCATAAACAGAACATATCAAATATGACTTAATATGTAAAATTTTATAAGTAGCACTGTGGTAGATATAGCCAAACCTCATTTTACAAATGAAAAAACTGGGTTTCAGAGAAGATGAGTTGTCAGTGATCACTTCTTGACCTGATTGCAGACCCAGGACTGGGACGTAATTGTCCTGACTCTTTGTAGAGCAAGCTGTTCAGTGTATGGTAATGCTCAGGTTTTTCAGTATGTGTATCATTATAGTGTGCCGGAGCGGTGCAACTGATCAGGAGACAAGTACCTGCAGGCGGCATCGGGTCATCAGGACAGCCCTGGAAATGTTGAGGAATAGCAGCTTGATCAGTTTCAGGAGATGTGTCCTGCTCTAATTAGGCAGCTTTTATCTTTAGTGAGTGTTTAAAATTATTGTGTTGCGATACCCTTAGGAACTGTTAAAGTTTATGGTGCTCTTTGAGGCTGTAATGAAAGCCCAGCTGCTCTGCTTTTCCGATTATCTTCTGTTCTGTGCTTTGCTCCCAGCAGTCACTTCTCCACCAAACTGGTCTCCTAGTCTCCCATTAATTGCCTTTATCTGTTATCTGCTGTCAGAGTGAACAGACAGAACGGGTTCATGCCACTTAACTTTGCCACTCCAGGCCAGTTACAACCTTGTGGAGTTTTAATTTATCTTAAAATTAGAATTTCTGTAATTCCTGCATTATATACTTCTGATCTTAAAATGTGACAGAACTTCTCTTACAACTTCAAATACCAGCTGGGCATGGTGGCGCATGCCTGTAATCCCAGCACTCCGCAGCATGAGGCAGGAAGATCACTGAGAGTTCAAGGCCAGTCTGACATGGCAAGACCCTGCCTTTAAAGAAAAATACCCACAAAAATCTTATCAGTTCTGGTGGTTTTTTTTTTCTAATAATATTCCTGTTACTAGTCAACGTTTAACTGATCACTATAGCTGAAAAGGCATACTGGCTGTAGAGCTTTAGAAAGTGTCTTTGTAATAAATTGTAACCAGTTGTCATCATTTGGAGTCTATTCCTCTTCACAATATCGCTTTATGTGAGATGCCAGTTGAGAAGACGGCTGGTGCCAGAGGATGTGAGGACTGCTAGCTGGGCTGCGTGGGTCCCTGATGAATGATGGTGATGTCGCAAGCCAGACCCTTGCTCTTGGCCTTATGAGCTAAGGAACAAGACAAGAACCATCTTGGAGACATGAATTTCTACCAACCACATTCTCCAAAGCTGCTGTATAAAAATAGCAGTTACAACAAAACTGGCTTTGAAGGGCACTAAACTTCAGTTCTCTCTGATCAGCCATGTTCTCTCTTTATAAGCAAGCCTCAGTACACCACCTTACAATCAGAATGCCAATGTGTTCATTTAAGCTAAGATATATAAATGCCAGCAGATTAGGATATGAACATCTTCCAGTCAGGGCATTCCTTCTCCAGAGGGAAAGTCCCTGGGACACCAGCTTGTAAGGAGAACATGAACGAATCCTGTTCCTGTGTCCACAGTAGAGCAACAGCTGCCGCTGGAGCTGGTCTTGGCTTAGGTCATCTATCCTGGACACAAGTACTGTCCACATTCGCCTCTCACTGACTACCCTCCTGTCAGTATGATCTGAGTAACATTTTCTTTGGATAGACTGATCCTTGCAGTCATTGCCAACTCCAGGCTTACCAACCTTGAAGCCATTAGGGTCCTTGCTTCTTTGCCTCTTTCTGAAGTTTAACACTCACAGCAAGGTTCCTGGCTGACATCGCTTACAGGGGTCTCCAACCCTTGAGCCACAGGCCACTACCCATGCATGCCTGTTAAGAACCTGGACACTCAACAGGAAGTGAATAGCAGGCCACTGTCGCCATGGCTCACAGAACCACCTCAGCTCAGCCTGCTGTCAGAGGTGCACAATCCCTACTCTAAACTGAAGGGACCATCACAATACCCTTCCCTCCACAGCCCGCCCCACCAACTGTCCATGGAAAATTGTCTTCCATGGAACTGATCTCTTGTGCCAAAAACATTGAGGGGCCCTACACTGTAGTTTCCAAAAATAAAAAAAGTTTGCCTGTATTCAAGACTTATTTTCACTTTTTATTTACCCCAGATATCTTTCCTAATCTGTAATTAATCTGCTTGAAACTTGTTTTAGAAAACCTTTGTATGGGCTACCTTGTGGTAGATGGTTGCCTAGCATTCAGAGGCCCTGAGTTTGATTCTGAGCATCGGAAGGAGCAAAAAAATACCTACATAAGTCATGTATTTGGAAATTTATTATTTATTCCTTCTTCCAGGTGTTCTTATAACATGTAATGTCTGCTCTGTAAAGGACTATAATACTTATAACTTAGAATCAAAATTTTAGCGTACAAGGTAAGATCATTATCTGATCAACTTCCTTATTTGATGAGTAAGAAAAATGAGACAACTATACCAAAGTTCACTTAGCACAGTCCCGTGTTTTGTAATCCTGTGATCAAGTAAGGCGCAACCCAGAAACCTCACTGTAGAAATAACTAGTCTCATTAAGAACTGGGTTCTTGGGGCTGGGGAGATGGCTCAGTGGAATAAGCGCTTCCCTGGCAAGCCCTACAAGGGCCTGAGTTCAATCCCTGGTTCTGCCAAAAAAATGAACTGGGTTCTAACTTGGATACGTCCTTGATCAAGCCTTACAATTTTAGAAAACATTGGTATATGCTAAGAAAGTCCTGGATAGAGTGTTTTGGGCTTAATCTTTCACATCTTGTCCCTTCCTTTTTTATCCCTTCCATTTAGGTTTGTTTGTGTCTGTCTGTCTTTCTTTTTGTATTTTAGGTAAGGATCTACAGGGTGTTCAGGGTCTCACTACTAGATCGGACTCATAGTGATCCACCTGTTGACAGCCTCCCAAGAGCTGGGGTTACAAGCATGCATGCCACCATGCCCGGTCTCAGTTGCCTTCTCAGCACACCCGGGTGTAAGGCCTGGCACCGCAGGCCCCGGGGATTGAACCCCTGTCCCCTGGGCCTGCTTGCAGGTGCTTTAATCCACTGAGCTGTTTGGCTGGCCCTCCATTTAGTTTTAATGCTGAACGATCTTTGTCATTTCAGAAATCAAAAATAGATACAGTACAAAGTGAGGGTATTCTCTTAAAGGAATTTTCTTTGAAATTGTATAGAGGGGCTGTAAGATCTCCATTTACCTTTTATTCTGCAAATAGCCAGTCTACCCACAAGACTTCCTTCTCTACACCTAGCTTTGTAGGTCTGCCTGTGTCATTGGGACAGAGCCTTAAGGCATTGCTTGTAAAACAGCAGCATAGCAATTCCAGATCCTACTCACAGGCATGAATGCCCTTAGCTGTGAGGGCCAAGCGGGATGACAGCACTGCAGTGAGCTGCTCTGCGACACTGCCTTAGTACTTGCGTAGATACTGAAGGACATCTCACAAACTGACGCTTCCCTTTCCCTGCACATCGCTGGCCCTGGCCCGTCTCTGAAGGAAACAACTGACTTCTGCACTGGCTGCTCCAGGCGGGCTGTGGGATGGAGGGGAGGACAGCCGGCAATCACTCCTGCACCTGCTGATCTGTGGCCGCCTTTTCTGCCCCTTCAGAGCCTGCTGACCTGGCCTCCGTCACCTGAGTGGAACTTCAGCTTTTTTCTTTTCTCTTGCTTCTCATGAGAACTCCCATCTTTTTGAGTGCTTGCAAGATAGTAGAAAATGTGATTTCATAAATTAAAGTGTTCATAGGTTTTTGATTGCATCAAATAGTCACTGGTGAAGTCATGATTTTGTAATTGCTGCTGTGGAAGTTTTGGGGTTGTTTGGTTGGGTGTTTGAGGCAGGGTTCCACTGGGAAGTTGCGGCTGGCCTTGAACTCACCATGTAACCTGGCTTGTGGCCATGTTGCGCCTTAGCACCTGAGTCCTAGAATCATAGGCATGCCCCCTACACCCAGCTAAAAAAGTTTACAAGGCAGTAGGGACTGAAAAGTTTAGTTGCTTCCTACGAAGCCCTAGAATTGGAGAGCTGGACCGAGCTAGTAGGGATCTGGGTTTATTTGCTTTGATACCAGGTTTCTCAGGTAAGATTTAACAGGACCGCTTTATGACTAAAAAGAACTGGAGACTGTTGCTAAGTTCTACCATGGATCTCTTCGGGTACCAATGTGGCAGTTTCACAGCTTTGTTGCTTTCATTTCAGCACAGCATTTCTTTACTTCAGCTTTTCCTGTATTACTGTATTTTGAAAAATAAAAAGGTCCTTGCTTACTTATAAGCTCCTTAAAATGAAAACTTTCATATTCCTTTCCACTCATAGTCACTGTTACAATAAAACTAAGCTTAACTGCCTTGTTAATTTTGCCCCCAGAGTCACCTGACCTGGGTTTGAACCCAGGCACCACCATGTGTTTGTTATGTGACTTCCCTGTGCCTTCCGTCCCTCACCTAGTGAGCAGGCGTCCTGAGCTTGCTGGTGTCTGATAGTGTCTGCTTGGAAAAACTGGGTGTCACTATTGCAGCGCCATCGCCCATATAACTCTTCAGCATTATTTTCAATAACTTAAGTGATCCTAAGTCGTAGGGGAGTTTTTCAAAATTTAACAATCTGTTAAATTTCAAAAATAGTTTTATAATTGTGAGCAGCTGGATAGTTTCCTTGAAATGTTTGTGTTGTGATTGACCTCGAGTTTTTGTTCTCTGTGCAATGTGATTTAAATCGCTGTTTTATACTTCAGTGCAATTTTCCACCGTAGTGTTTTCTGCTTGACACGTTCTTACGTACCTTGTAACTGTACTTAGAGCTCTAGCCTGAGAGAATCTGTGACACTGTAGTGATACATGAAGAGCCGTTAGAAAGCGGGCAAGAAATGCTTTGAAAAGTTTTGCTTTCTTTTGTCACTACCAGTTTGGTAATTGGATAAACATTAAAGAAAAGAAAAAAAAGGCCAGATAGCTCAGTGGACTAAGGGACCTGGGTTCAATCCCCGGCTGCCATGTTGGCCCCATCCCTGAGGCATGCTGAGGTGGCTGACTGGGTGTGGTGGTGCATGCCTGTAATTCTCAAGCTCTCAAGTGCTGGAAAAATTAATCTATTTTCCGTTATGAATTGACAACGTCCCTCAATAAGTCTTTCATAAATTTGGGGAATTTTCCTACTCAAGCTGGGTGCTGGGGAGATGGCTCAGTGGAATAAGCACTTCCCTGGCAAACGCAAGGGCCTGAGTTCAATCCCCAGTTCCGCTAAAAAAAAAAAGAGCTACTTGACGTTGATTAACCTGAGCATGTTCTGTGCCCCCAGCTGTGAGCCACAACAACTTGGTGTGCGTGCGGTGCTTTTGCCCTTCTAGTACTGCTACCGGAGGAAGTGTAGGCCGTGCTTCTAAGGTCTGCATCAGGACGGCTACTTGGAGGAATGTACATTTGCCATCATCTACCCCGTTTTGTTTTTTTTATCTTTTGATACAGGGTCTCACTATGCAGCTCAAACTCATAGTGATCCTCCTATCTCAGTCTTCCCCTTGCTGGGATTACAGGCGTGTGCCACCATGTCCAGTTCTGGTGGCCTGCACAGTGCACCTGGGGCTCCAGGGCGAGCACGATACGCAGTACCAGGGATCAAACCCTTGCACTTGCCAGGAAGGAGCTTAGACCGCTGAGCTGTTTCCCCAGCCCTGTTTGGTTGTTCCATTCATATAGCAAGTTTTTATTTTAAACAGATGGTTTCCTCCAATGAGATAAGTCTGACGAGAGCCAGCATCAAACACAGAAATGTGTATTGGCTGAGTACCACTGTCACAGAGATCATGGGTCCAGAAAGATCTTGGGGCATGTCATTAGAAACTGTACCTATGAAAAAATAAAATGTGAGCAGAAAAAACATTCAGATCTTATAAAATTAGACTGTAGGAAAGAAGTGAATTTGAGTATGCTAACTTCGATAAACCATAAAATCCAGGTAACTCATCTGATACAGTTTATTGGAAACTACCAGATGCTTGCAGAAGGCCAACAAAATCAACATTTAGTGTGTGTATGTGTGTGTGTGTGTGTGTGTATATATATATATATATATATTACCCCCCCATCATAGAGGTAAAACCTAAGCTACTAAAGATTAGTTTTCCCGTTTAAGTAAAGTTGAGGAATCAGATGACAGTATTGGGTAGGAGACAGGAGTCGAGAGTTGGGACTTTACTCCTATGGAACGTTCTCTGGATAAAGGAGTATTTATTTAGCAAACCCCCATTCTGACTGCATGTGGGTGTCACACCCAGTAGGCTGCCCAAGAAAACGGTGCATAATTTGTAACTAAGATTTTATTCTTGGGCTGGAGAGATGGCTCAGTGGTCTAAAGCACCTACTTGGAACAAGCTTAGCAAAATGCAGGGACCGCGGTTCAATCCCCCAGCGCCACATGCCAGCCAGCCCCACCCCCTGGTGGGCTGAGTTGGCCACACACACACACACACACACACACACACACAATAAATGTTAAAATTAAAAAAAAAAAAAGATTTTATTCTCGAAAATGGAGTCTAGTGGAGACACTAGTGACTTGAAATAAGGCCCAAGGATCTGGTGCCTATTGCGCTACCCTGTATGATGAGTGAGTAAACTGTCTTGGAACTCTGGCAGAGATAGTAAGCACTGGTGCGTAGGGGCCAGCAGGATTCTCATGGGCACCAGGCGCTTCACATTGCCATTGTGGTGGGATCCCCTGACTTGCAGTCTGGCCCCAGCTCTTCCTGCACCCCTGGCATCTTCACAGACCTGCGTCTTGGGCCTCCGAGACAAGTGAAAAAGCACTGAAGGCCTGTTGTCCTGTAGGAATCCTGCTGTAGGAGTAGGTACCAGAAAGTAGTACTGGCTATTAGGCTAGTTATTCAGAACTCTAAAAACCTTCTAATAGATGGTCTGTTTTTCCATAGGGACACTCCAGCTACATCACACACCTTGACTGGTCCCCAGACAACAAGCATATAATGTCTAATTCGGGAGATTATGAGATATTACACTGTAAGTATGAATGACCATATGTGGGCTCAGATGCGTCTGTGACCGTGCTTTGCAGAACTTGAATTATGTAGAGTAATGCTGGCTTTAAAGCATAGTACTCTGAGCTGAGTAATGAGAATTTCAAATGTGGTTCACTTTTCCAGGAAAGTAATGAATTTATTTAATGGCGTAGAACTGAAGGCACATGTAATAATAAGAAATAAGTCAGTGAGATTGATGGTGCTCTGAGTGGTTTTTCATTTAACAACTCTCCCTGGTTACACAGAGGAATAAAATGGACAGGCATGTTACTCTTTTTAGAGGAAAAAAAAAAAAACTTTCACTGGAAACAACTTATATAAAAGTTAGCTTTAACAGGGTTATATAAAACTGTTAAACTTTCCTTCTTAAACGTGTGACAATGTTTTTCAGTGTATATATTATAAACACAAACGTAGTTTGAGTCAAGATGCACTTTCAAATACATTTGTTCACATGGTTATACTTCCTGTTTCTAAATTTAAAGGGGACATTGAAAATGGCTGCAAACTAATCAGGAATCGATCAGACTGTAAGGACATTGATTGGACAACATACACCTGTGTGCTAGGCTTCCAAGTCTTTGGTAAGAACACAGCGTCTGATAAGAGACTGTTAGGTTTTCATGTCATGTTTACTTGCTTAAATCTATAAATGAAAAATATGAAATGTTATTGCTACTAACATCAGAATTAGAAAAAAATAGATGGATTAGGATTGAACCAGTATAGGATTGTTCTCTGCAGAACCCAGCACGTTTGGTCCCCAATCTGTAGGAAAGACGAAGACAGGAATTTTTTTTTATTTTTGGCGGAAACAGGGATTGAACTCAGGCCCTTATGCTTGCCAGGGAAGTGCTTATTCTACTGAACCATCTCCCCAGCCCCATAGGAATTTATATAGTAGTTCAGATTGTTTTTCTGCAAGGGAAAATGGATGCTTTTAAATGGGTAAAGCTTTTTTTTTTTTTTTTAAAGTAGCTTTATTGGTCTTATTGACATATAGCACAACTCCTATTTAGTGTACCATTCAGTGGGTTCTGCATATTTAAACTTGTAAAATTATCATTGTGGTCTAATTTTAAGAGTGTCTTCATCACACTGGACTCCTGTACCTGCGAGATACAATTAACATCTCCCTTCTTCCTACCCACCCACTCTGTTGGCTTCCCTATTCTGAGTAACTATTATAAACAAAAGCACGCATACAATATGTGATCCACTGCGGTGGGCTGCTTTTTGTTAGCACGGCAATTTCGGTGAGCACTCGCCAGTGTTTGTCTGTGGCTGGCTAGAATACTGAATTTTGTTCCTCTCCTCGCTGATGGGCCAGTCTAGTCAGGTTGTTCCTGCTTTGCAGCTATCATAACTAATGCTGCTGCAAACAGTTATATGTAAGGGCTTTTTTACGTTTTCATTTGTCTTCAGCATACCCTAAAGAGCAGAATTTCTGGGTCGAATGGTAACTGTGTTTTACCTGTTGGGAAACTGGCAAACTTTTCCAAAGAGGCTGCACCATTTACATTTCTAGCAGCAGTGTGTGAAGGGTCCAATTTCTCCTGTCCTTGTCAACATGTGTTACTCTTTTTGCATGCGGATGCTGCATTCCAGTGCTGTTTATCAGACTATAAAGGCATTTTTAGTAGACATTATTTAAAGATAAATTTGGAGATTATTCCTAATCTGATGTTTTTTTCTAAACCAATCCCTTTCTTTAGATATCTTCCTGAAAAGCTCTAAAGATAAAAGGAAAAAGTTAAAATAGCAAACCTTTTTTTGTTTTGTTTTTAAAGAATTAAAAATAGATGCTACACTTGGTAGTCAAAATCCTAGGTGTGGAGGTGGCACCAGTACCCAAAGCAGATAGCCAGAGCTACTGTTTCTCTTTAAGGATCTTGCCCTTCTGCTCACAAAGTTCACCATATTTTTATGCAATGTATGTCAGAAAACTGGCCCAGTAGGCAGCATTATCTAAACTCAGGTGCTATCAGGATGGAGAATAAGTTAGGAAGAAATTAAATTAATAGTATAGGAAAAAATTGAAAACAAAATCCTGAATTGTCCATGAACAATTTTTATTATTCTAGGTGAGATTCATAATAAGTAGTAATTGGTAATTTCCAATTGGTTAAAGAGGCAGGCTTTTTAATTATTACAAAATACCAACTTTGTTCTGACTTGTTTTTAACAAATTTCCAAAAACATATTTGCTGTGCAGAGTACATTCAGCCACAGAACCCCAAATATCTCAACCCTTAAACATGCCATAGCTTTAGTCTAGCCTGTTCAAGTTTATGCGGATGGTGCTGGCTGTGATCACAGCGCCTTCTGCGTGCACATTCAGAGTTCTCGCATGTGGCAGCCTTACCTGGGATGGAAGTGACACTCCCAGGAGCATTCTGTGGGGTGGAGTGCTGGGGGGGCTTGCTGCCATAGGAACGGTCTCTGGGGTTCTCTTTTGGAGGGACCTGCTTAAGAAGGAACCTAGAAAAACCTTAGCACTGTTGCACTCATCTTGCTGCACAAGTAATTAAAAACCTTTCCTTTAATGAGAAAAATTTTTAAAGAGCATATATATTATTGAGGTGCGTCAAACTGTAGTTAATTTATCAGCACCGCCTACTGGTTACTACTGAGTACAATTGAGTCTGAGTTTTCCATCTTCAGACTAATTTGAGCTTAACACATAGCATCACAGTTGTACGTTTTAGGCTTTTTAACACCCCACATTTCTGTCTCAAAGGTGTCTGGCCAGAAGGGTCTGATGGGACAGACATCAATGCACTGGTGCGATCCCACAGCAGAAAGGTGATTGCTGTTGCTGATGACTTTTGTAAAGTCCATCTGTTTCAGTATCCCTGCTCCAAAGCAAAGGTAAAGTGAACTTCATAGAAAGCATGTGTTGGTGAGGCCTTCTGTTTGGAGATAATTTTGTGTCCCTGGCAAGAAAATATTTGTAGAGTAGTTGCTCCCTACAACCCCACGCTGCCCAGGGAAACAATAAGGTGCTCAGCTTGCATCCTATCAGACACAGCTTGGCTTAATTTTTTCTTCCTCGTTAAGGCAGAGGAGACTATAGCTGGAGAATTCACAACCAATGTTTTATTCCTTAATCCTATTCCTAAATTACCTTCTAACCTTGCCAAGCTAGTAAATGCTCGTTTAGCCATCTTAAGAGTAGCTTAGAATCCGGCAAAGGTATTACTGACATCCAAGAGCAGCAGACGTCATGTGCTGTTTAATTTTTTTTAATGTATTTAGTACAGGGTCTCATTACACAGATCAGACTCATAGTGATCCTGTTTTCAGCCTCCCAATTGCTGGGATTACAGGCACACGCCACCACACTCAGTTTGTCCCTGTCTTAGTGTACCCTGGGAGTGGGGTCAGCACAGCACACGAAGATCACTGTCATATGCTGTTTTTAAAAATATACAGTGTTAAAGTACAGATGTCCAATTACGTCTGACCCCCACCACCACTCGCGTGCCTAGGGAGGGCACTAGGGCCTTTGCACTGAGCTAAATCCCCACTTCTTTATTTTTTAAGTTTTGAGACAGTCTCACCGTGGTGCCCTGACTGAGCTCAAACTTGTGGTCCTCCTACCTCCCACAGTGCTGGGATCATGGGCAGAGACCACTGCACCTAGCTGCTGTGTCCTTTTAAAAAACAAGGAGTAAAAGAAAATGACTGCTAGCCTTATACCTTAGATGTGACAACTTGGGGCTCTGAGTCACCTGCCTGTCCTCTTAGTCTCCATTGCTGTAAGCAGGCCTGCACGGAGTGGGTTTCATTTTCTTGTTTGCCTCTCTTCATACAGGCTCCCAGCCACAAGTACAGCGCCCACAGCAGCCACGTCACCAATGTCAGTTTTACTCATAATGACAGCCACCTGATTTCAACTGGTGGAAAAGACATGAGCATCATTCAGTGGAAACTTGTAGAAAAGTTATCTTTACCTGCAAATGAGATTTCAGCAGATACTTCTACAAAAGTCCTTACCTCTTCCATCGAAGGTGTCCTCCAGTCTGACACTTACACACCAGCCCCTTCCCATCCCTTAAATGAGACAGCTGAAGACAACAGTAGGATAAGCAGTTCTCCCACGCTCCTGGAGAACAGCTTGGAGCAGACTGTGGCACCAAGTGAAGACCACAGTGAGGAGCAGAGTGAGGGGGGCAGCGAGGAGCTTGGGGAGCCTGCCGAGGAGGGGCCGGCCAGCGAAGCTGGCGAGGAGCAGGGGGAGGAGCAGCAGGAAGCCTGCCCCCTGCCCTGAGGCCAGTCTTGGCACAGCTCGTCTGCCTTGGCAGCGTGGGACTCCACGGAGAAGTTCAGATAACCGGCCAGCTGGTGATGGAGTGGCGGCGCTGTGGATGGAGACTGTTTTCCACACAGCTCACCTAAACATTCAGTGTGGTGTATGTTGAACATTAACCAAACTAAGTAGGAGAAGACTGAAACCTTCATTCTGTCTCGGGAATCACTGTGCAAGTAAGTGGGATAGTGTAAATACTGGAAACAAAGGCAGTTTTTACTGAAATAAATCCCCACGTTACCTGAACGTGTTTTCTTCAGGAATCACCAGAGGCACCACACACGCTACCCTGCTGGCCTAGACCTGCCTTCCTCTGACATAGGAAAGAGCCTAGAGCAGGGGTGTGCTCTTACTGCGATGTCTTCCCACCAAAGTCTAATGGAGATTTCTTAGTTAAGAAAACCTTCAGTATTGCCTTGTGCGATGATGTTGCCTTCTTCAATAATGACTTTTTTACACTACCAGTAGATGTCCAGATGTGCTTGCTAGTCTACTATATAGGTGCTGCCTTTTCTAAGTTAAAACAAGGACTAGTCCTTAATTGCTGGTGTGCAAATCTATTTTATCCTAGAACTAAGAGCGCATTGGTTTGTTGAAGAGCTTTTAATGTATATTAAACCTTGATACTCAGAAGTGTTGGGTTCCTGCAAGGAGTCCTTTACTGGCTGCAACATTTTCTAATGTTTAGCATTCAAATGAATGGAAGAAAACCACATGCCTTTACAATTAAGCTATAATGATTACCTGGCTAATTTTACTTTAGCCACCTTCATTATTTGTTTCCTCAACAGGAGAAATATAAACAGAGTAAGTTCTAGTGATTGAATTGGTGCTTGAAATCCATTTGTTTGTGATTTTCTTACAAATTATATTGAGGAATAAGATATTCAGCAAATTGCAAATTTTTTAATGTGTGAATAACTAATTTTTTTTTTTTTAAAAACCGCATACTTCACTGATTTACTATATGTGGCAATTTTTTTCTGGTGAAGTTGCTCCAAGTCTTGCAAATTTCATATGCCTATCTCCTATTCGGGCCAATGCATGTATTTCACTGCATTGGACAGATTTTTTTTTTTAAGTTTTTTGTTTTTTTTTTTAAGTTTTGTCAAACTTTTTCTTACATGTTTTTCCTACTTTAAGTTCTGACAAATATGTGTTTCCTATATATTTGTTTATACTATGATTAGAAATTTTTTTTATTTTTTAACTTGCTGCAGTGTTTTGATACTTTTTTTTAGTCTGATCATGTTTAGAAACTTTGGGTGAGTTCAGAAGTCTTAAGTATGCGAGTGTTTACGTGATTGTGCCATTCCAAAGTGCATCAGAACTGTCATTCCCTTCTAGTATCTTCTCAGGAGTAATGCATATCAGGTATCGCATCATTTGGTATATGGACACTCCGGTGCGCTCCCAAGGACATTCGCAGCATTTATGGTCGCATGGCGTATGGAAGGGCATGAGTGTGCGTGAAGGGGCAGGCGCAGACCCTCTAATCACGCGCATCTCTAGACAAGGAGACACGTACCACACCGAAAGTGCTCGGTGTAGACTCTTGTGTATAGGTGTATGTCTGTGTATATCTCTTTCCTTTTGTTTACAACTATTTTTTTAAAAAACCTCAAAGTAGTTCTCCTCAAAAGAAGATAGATTCCAAGCAACCTGACTTTTTTCAGTATGTTCTGTATATAGTTAGCAGAGCGCGCCAGTGAGGGTCAGACATACACAGCCACCCGTTAGCAGCGCTGCTGAAGCCATCAGGTCAGCAGCCTGCTCCCTGCAGGCCGGACACCACATGCCGAGCAAGCTGGGCGGAGGAAGTGCATTCTTTTAAGTACCTAGAGAGTGCAGCTCTCCGTGCTAAAGCAGGGAGTCTGAGGGCATCAGTCACCTTTGGGGTTGCCACGAACGTGAGATTTACTGGGATACTCTTCGGTGGTAGTTTCCAAAGACACTACTAATACGCAGAAAGCGTTCCAGCTAATGCTGGCAACTACTGTTTAACGGTCAGTTAAATCTGTGATAAAGGTTGGAAGTGGGTAGGATTTTGAAATTAATAGATGTTTTTAGAAAAACTTGTGAATGAAAATGAATCCAAGTGTTTCATGTGAAGATGTTGAGCCATTTCTATCATGCATTCCTGTGTCATGGCAGAAAATTTTGAAGATTAAATAAAATAATCAAAATATTTTGTCTCTAAATGTCTTAACTCAGCACTTATACTGCTAGTTTCCCTACCTATCCACTGATCAGAAGACATGGCAATTGGGAGGAAGCGTGCGTCAGCGAGGGCTGCTATGGCTGAGAGCCTTCTGGCAGCCACCCCCCCATCTCACACCATCAGAGGGAACTGCTTCTGATTCAGGTTCCTGCTTAGTGGGGAGTAGCGTTACCTCACATCTACACTCTAATGCTTCACACTGGATAATCCTGGCCATGCTGGGTACCTGCCTGACCACTGCCTCCCTGTTGGTTCTTGTGACGTACCTAAACTTGAGGCGAGGCCCCATGGTTTGCCCCTTCTCTTCTCCGTGCTCAGTGGCCCAGGTGCTCTGTACAATGACCCTAAGTGGCTGCTACTTAAGTCTGTGAATCAGTATGTTGAGAACATTGCAGACACATATTCTAGTTTTACAGTGGTGGAAATGACTGCGATACACAATTTCAATGACTGTGTGTTCCCAGTCATGACATCCAGACTGACCCAGGCAAGGCTGTGTGGGATTGGAGTTCTTTTTGACCAACTCTGAGACAGGATGGCAAAAAGGCTCAGAAACCCACTGAGTGAACAGTGTGATTTTTTTTTTCCCCCCCTTAAAAAAATAAGGAAATCAGGGCCAGGAAGATGGCTCAATGGAGTAAGCGCTTCCCTGGCAAGCACAAGGGCCTGAGTTCAATCCCCGGTTCCACCAAAAATAAAAAGAAAATAAAAAAGAAAAAATCCAGAAAATGAACTCTTCTAGGGGATATATGAGATTTGTTTCTGAACACATCAAGGTGGCGATGTAACTTCTGTAAGGAAGTAGGCTCTCAGCTTAAAAGCTTGAAGTGAAACAGTAAAGACAGAACATGTTTTAGGAGCAAGAAGAAAAGCTGAATCGCAGAGGAGGCTGTGAATCCCAACACCTGTTATAGCAAGAGTGGACTCAGGAGTACTGCAGCTACAAAAACGGGGACTGTGCAAGCAGCCACGCACTCGGCCAGGGAATGGGCTCGGAAGGCCTGTGCTGCTGCTACTAGCCTGGGGGAAGATGCTCTGAAAAACAGCACCTGGGCCTGGGGGCACATGCTCGGACAGCCCCACGAGGCTGAGGCAGGAGGATCACAGAGTTTGAAGCCAGTCTATTTACACAGCAAGACTGTCTCATAAATGAAGGAAGCAGCAGCTAGACATGGTGGTAACACACCTATAGGCCCAGCCACTCAGGAGGCTGCAACAAGAAGAGCACAGGGGCCAACCTGGGCAGCTTAATGAAACTGTTACCACCACCACCAAAAAAAAAAAAAAAAAAAAAACAAATTCAAGAAAGTGAAACAGGATCGCCTGTTTCTGGGGCTTTATCCAAGACTGAGTCCACTGCCCTCAGTGATGCTACACATCTGTGTCACAGGCCAGCGCTCCTTCCAGATGTCCACATCTGGTATGTTGAGAGATGGAAAAGTGGTTTTTCCAAAATTAAAAATAGAAGCAGGCCAGCTGTGGTGCACGCCTGTAATCCCAGCACGCTGAGGCAGGAGAAATGCAAGTTCAAGAAGAGCTTAAGTGTTTTTTTTTTTTTTTTTCCAGAACCCAGGGTTGAACTCGGGCCCTTGCACTTGCCAGAGAAGCACTTGATTCCACTGAGCCATCTCCCCGCCCCCCCAAGACCAGCTTAAACTGCATAGTTAAACCCTGTCTCAGACCAAAAGGGGGCTGACGATCTAGCTCAGCAGCAGTGCACCTGCCTGGTGAGCACAAAGTCCAGTTCAATTCCAGCTTTAAAAAAAAACAAAATAGAAGCACAACTTTGTGAAGGAACAGCTCTGGCCTCTCAGCATGAGAGCTTGGGCTCATGGGTACCTTTTCCAGAGAACCCTGATTTCTGACCTACCCTCAGTAAAAGATCCCTGGTAGCCCTAAAAGCTCTAATACAGAGAAGACTTCCCAGCCAAGGGCACAACAGGGAGCAAGTCATCCTGACAGGAGTTCAGCTTCTCTGGAAATGCCCACCTGTCTCAATTCTCTGCGCACTGTCCCTTCTGGGTGAGGGCCGTAAGAATTCTGCCAATCCAGAAATGGGACAGAAAAATTTGGCTCCACATCTGTATCTCCATGGATAAAACAAAGTAAACTTAGGTACTCGATGGTGAAGATCTGGGAAGGCCAGGCACATAGGTGCCACTCGGCAACAACAGCTGGCTGCCATGCTCACACATGCTCGTGTATCCAGTCAGGCCTCTCAAGCATCCCATGTTCCATTACTGCCATTTTATTGGTGGGGAAACAACTGGCCTAGAGTCATAGCAAGCAGCTGAGCCATTCCTTCTCCCGTGTGTACTTCCAGTTGCTCTGCTGCTGGTACATACTCCCTCCTTTTCTCCCCCGGGTGCCCAGCCTGCCACGCCTTCAGGTACTTGGGCACCCTCTCTCATTTGGAATCAAATGAAGGAAAGTCAGGAAAGTGGCTCTAGCACAGCCTTGCAAGGCGATGGTGTCAGGGCAGATGAGCACCATCCCCGAGCGAGCGTGGAGCCCTGACTTCCGGTGTGTCTGTTCCCCTGGGGCTCATGACCAGAATCACTAGCAAGAGTGCTGGCCCAGTGTTGACACTGTCTCTCAGAAGATGAACTGATTCTGAGCTGAGCCAAGGATGCCCTTGTTAGACCCTGGACCCTGGGGTGATCTCCCTCTGCCCTCACAGGCTACCACCTTCTAGGGGGAGAGGAGTCGGACAGCAAAATTCTTCCTGCGGCTTTGTCATGTGGGGCCCACACAGAATACGCTGTGATGATGTAGCTCCATGATGCTCATACAATGAAACCACCTGACGACACACCTTTCAGAACGTGTCCCCAACACTGTCACGCGACTGCTGGCAGCAAGCAAGACCTCAGTGAAAGCCACAAGGTGGTCATTGCCTTCCTGACAGCATTTCCCGCACAGGGTGAGCCAGGGCTGGATCCCCTGGCTGCCTCAAGGCACCATGGTCTTCCTAGTTCCACTGAAAGGGCGAAGGGCCTTACCCACGCCAGCATGAACCAGAGGGGGGACTCCAGCGAGCGACCCAGGGTCCTGAGGCTCTGTCTTCACTGAACACAAAAGAAAAGCCATCCCTGCCTCCGGAGCAGAGAAGGCTGCCCTTCCGGGTCACATGCCAGGCCCCCACAGTAAACACTTTGCCGGAACAGACTGTAGGGAAAGCCTGCAGCTGGCTCCATTAATAAAGCTGCCATTCAAAACCACCAAAGCTGAAGTGGATTCTATGGGGGAACTCTCACATCAAAATAGAAAGGTTTTTTTAAAATTAAATCATAGTAGTTAATTACAGTTTTATTAAACATCTAATTTAAAAAAATGGACTTGTCTGAGAGGGCATTCAGAAAACCAGTTGTGGCCACTGGCCCTGCCAGGAAGCAGAGGAAGGATTTGCCAGCCCCACACCCCGCGTTCGCCTCAGGCTGGAGCTTTCTGTGCTACCCCATCACCAGTACAAGAGACACAGCTGGCGGGGGACATGGCCAGAGAGGGAGACTGCGGGGGGGGGGGGGGGGGACACGCGCGCTTCTCCCAGCTGCCTCAGCCTAGGAGCCACACTGGCCTCGGAAGCTCAAAACCCTAAGGTCTCTCCACTCACCTCTGGGTTCGGTTCTTCCCTCCGTTCCCGCGCTTAACAGTGTTTTAAGGTATTAACAACTTAGAAGAAGGATCACAGGCACAATGCTTTTGTCTGCCCATGCCCAGAGGAGCTGGGCGTCTGAGCACCCCTAGGGCTCTGTGCCCACTGCTCCGCGGAAGACTCCCATTCAGGGAGTTTTCCGGGCTTGCTGCACCCACACCCCATGGGCCACCACAGGCTCTTCCCGCCCAACGTGGGGGTCACCATTGTCCCATCTGTGTCCCTATTCCACATGAGACACGGGCGCCACACCACAGCTGAGGTCTCAGTGCCCCACCTTATGACCCCCAGCCCCGAGCAAGCCAGACTGTTCCCCCGGGGGAATCACACACCAGTCTCCTCTCCTCCGCTCATCACCATCATGCCCAGGCCCACACCCCGCACAGCTCTCATGGATTCCTGTGCTGGGTGTCTTCCCTCCCCAATCTGTCCTCCTCACTACACCCTGGCCTCAGGGCACCCAGGCATCCCAGGATCGGATGCTGCCCTTGGCTCATGAGCTCTCTGCCCAGCAAACCAGGCTGCCAGTTCTCCTCAACAAAGCCCCTGCAAGGTTCTTCTGGAGCCCCCTCTGCAGGCCCCAGCCCACCTGCCTTCTGTCTTCCCAAGGCCAGCGCTGCCACACTTTGGAGGGCTCTTCCCTCAGGCTGAGGGGCTTTCCTCATCGTGTGGGGTCATAGGCCACCCACACTGTCCCTGGGACACTTCCTTGCTGCCTCCCGCACCCACCCAGGGCAGCCTCGCTGCTGGCCAGTTTCTGGGTGTGCTCAGCACTCCATAAGCTCCGTGGACAGGGGAGTCAACTTTCTCTGTGCAGTGAGTGCAGGGCGAATGATTTACACAGAAAAGCTGCTAACGGTGAAAATGAGGCCCGGCTGACAGAGGAAGGGCGCGCCCCTCAGGTAAACCCAGGTCTGCTCAGGAAAAGCCCTGCAGGAAAGTGCACAGGGTGCAAGGCCAGACCCAGACGGGCTCAGGTCGGGCCAGGGTGGCTTCAGCAGGGAAGCACAAAAGACATGCCTGCCCAGCAGGTACAAGGTCACGCCCAACCGGGCAGAGGCTCAGAGTGAAGGTCCTTGAGGCCCAGCCCTTGTCACCTCGGCACCCCAGAGCCTCCCCACCCACACAAGCACCCCTCATCTCTGCAGCCAGGGCGCCTCCCTTGGCGCTGCTTCTCTCCAACACTCCATGAATGGGTTGCCACGAAGGGGGCAGATGAGCCAGAAAATCAATTCACCAAGCAGTGGCTTCAAGAGCACAAAGGACATTGTTCCTCAGAACCAAGGAACAGCCACCAAGCGTAAACAACGGCTCCCTGATATGATTCTACTGTAATTAGAATGACAGCTAATTGAGTGAAATTTAATGCTGGTTCATGAAAGGTTAATGGAATTCATGTTTTGGAGATGTTGAATGCAACACAGACTTCGCCAGAAACACAAATCTAACCTTTATTCTCTTTAATTATCCGGTCAGAATAATTTCCTGGGAGCAGGTTTACTCTCAAGATGGTTCTAATTAAACATCAGTGAACTTTGAAAGTTGAAATCAACTCATTCAGCTGCAACTCAATTTGCAAGTTAATCTGCCACCCAATATAGAGGTCTAGGGGCCCAACCACAGTGGCGGGCCGAGTGGGGACACAGGCTCTGAGCCTGGCAGGGATTAATGGATTGAGGACATCACACTTGCAGGGGCAAGGTGCCCTAACCCAAGCCTTCCTGGCTCCAGGCTGCTTTCTCAGTGATTGAAACCAAGCTGGTACAGCCAGCAGCCCGAAACAGGCCAGTGACCAGCAGGCACTGTCCCTCCTCTCCCTCCCCTCAGAGCTACAAGGGGCGAAGCAGCACTGGTTGGCAAGGTGCCGCAGACCCCAGGTCTCCTAGTAGCTATCACACCCCATCGCCCCTTACTGGGTCTGTCTCACCTTGCACCACAGCAAGGTCCCACTGTACTGAGCCTCTGCTTCTTCCTGCTGCTGGGAGGCAAGGCTACCATTTCTCACAGCCCGAGGCCACTTCATCTGGGCCCGGTAAGAAGTGGTTCAGGCTTTGCCTTCAGCAGAGAGGGGCAGTATGTGTGAGAGGGGCCTGTGCTCCGGCCTTGGAAGCATGAGCTACAGCTGGAGGGCACCTCAAGAAGTAGTCATTCCCTAAGGATTCTAAATCCTAGCAAAAAAGCAACCCACCATAGGCAATTTATAAACCTCAACCCAGTAACTAAAAACAAGAAAGAAAATGACAAATATCAGGGACCACAGTCAAAGTCCCAGACAGGGGGCTGGTGAGATGGCTCAGTGGTCTAAAGCACCTACTTAGAACAAGCTTAGCAAAAACAAAGGGACCGCAGTTCAATCCCCCAGCACATGCCAGCCCGCCCCGCCCCCTGGTGGGCTGTGCTGGCCACACACACAAATAAATAAATAAAAATTTAAAAAAAACCAACAAACAAAGTCCCAGACAAGCTGTGTCAAAAGGTGAAGAGGGAAGCGTCACCTGTAGTATGGGACTCTTACACTCGAGGCATGGCCTGCTTTCTGTTGCAGCTGCCACCAACAGTCCAGAATGGAGCAGGCAGCCTGAAGTACGCAGCAAGACCCCGTCTCAGAGAAAAAAGGCAGTGGGGAGGAGGAACAGTAATAGAAACGCAAGACTTAAAAATCACCTGCCTTCAAACCATCCCTGCCTTGTGGCCCCATGGACTTTTCAACCAGCTGTACTTACTGGTACTCCAAGACTGAGATTACGGGTCACAGAAAATACTGTGGCACAGTGACAAAGGACCAGGAGCTGGACTCAACAGACTATAGCTTCTTATCCCCAACAAACTCAACAAGTAGGATCTTGCAACAGACCCAAAACCCCAAAACCAACTACACCCAGAAGAGACACCTGGGAGAAGTAATTTCCTAAGGGTTCTAAAATGCTAACAACAAAGCAACCCACCACAGGCAATTTACAAACCTCAACCCAAGAACTACAAACAAGTAAGAAACTGAGAAGACAAGATGTAACTCCAGACATCTAGTTCACCAAAGGCAAAGCCCAGGGAGCAATGAGGTAGCAATCCGAAAGCCCCCACCTGGCCTCTCTGAAGTGGTAACAAAGCACTTGAATGAGGCTCTAGAAAACATCAAATCAGAAATAACTTCTCAGATAACTGCAGAGATGGTGTCCACAATGAAAACCATGCTGACTCTACAGTACACTCTGACTTTAAAAATAGAGCTCAAGAAAATTATGGAACCCCCAAATGTCCAACACAGAAAAGGGAATCTATAAAACACATTCAAAGCAAACAGCCAGGGCTGGTGAGATAGCTCACTGGTCTAAAGTGCCTGCTTAGGCAAGCTTAGGCAAATGTAGGGGACCACAGTTTGATCCAGGGGGGCTGAGCAGGCTTATAAAAAAAAAAAAAGCAGACAGCCAGGCCAATCAACCCAGACCAGTTATTACAGAGGGGAAAGGATATCCTCACAAAGGAGAAATGTGGTGGGTCAAAACTCACTAAGTTATCTAATTTCAAATCCCCAAGAACAGGAAAAACTATAGTACCATCAAGTACTACATGACAAAAGGACACCATACCATCTATGAAGGATTCCTGACAAAAATGTTTAACAGTACTGGGAGCTGAACAGAGTCTTCCTACCTTCCCACAGGGCTACATTCCTGGCCCTCTTTTTCCTTTCCTTTTTTTTTTTTTTTTTTTTTTTTTTTTTAAAAAGGACAGCAGCTTGAGCCACTAACTTGCCTTAGTTGGGCTTGAACTTTCAATCCTCCTGCTTCAGCCTCCCAGAGTTCTGGGACTACAGCCATGCGCCACCATGCCCAGCTGGACTCTTCCAACAGGTCAGTGTCAGAAAACATGCAGATTGTTCTATATAAAAAGCAACTAAAGACATAGTAGTTAAATGCAATGTCTGAACTCTGCCTGGGTCCTGGATGCAAAACAAACAAATAAACAAACAAACAAAAAACCAACTATAACTACTGGTAGGAATTTGAAATCACAGCTAAGGTGTAACGGTCTGGCAGGCCTCAAAGCCTTACCTGAGGACAGCTCTGCAGCTCCACCTCTAGGCACATACTCTGGAGCACTGAAAGCAAGTACTCTGCAAAAACCTGGTGGCCACACTGCTAAACACACCACTGTCACGGCTTGTATCTAGCTGCCGCGCAAAAGCCCATGCAGCGACTTCTAGAGTTTGCGATTACCTCATAATACCCTAGGATTAGGGGGTGAGTGCTGCACCCAGCCTGGGGCAGACAGCCTAAAGGCAACATACAAAGACAGACTTCCTCCCTGTTGCCATTGCTGCGGCGGCTGCTGCTGCTCCTCCCATTTGCTCTGCTCTTTGCTGCCGCCAGGAAAGCTGCCCTCTGCCTTGTGCCACTCTACCTTGGAGCCAGCTGAGTATGGACTGAAACCTCCGCTGGCTGTGAGCTAAACAAACCTTTCCTTCCTTCATTTTGGGTGTTGGGTATTTGTCCCAGCAACTAAATAAGAGTAACTGAGACAACCACTGTTCACCATGGTGCCAGCCACGGACAAACTGCCCACTAACAGATGAGCAGGTGCATGAAATGTGGGTTAGAGCCACTAACACCCCCACACACAGATAACCTCAAAGCACTACAGGAAATAGAGAAAACCATCACAGGTCACAGACTGCATGACATGGATAGGAAATCTCCAGGAAGATGACCCCTAGGGACCGAGGAGATGAGTGGTTGTCAGGGCAGCAGATGGTCAGGTGAGAAAGGGACATTAAAAGAAAAAAGAATCAGACACAGGCTTAAGAGATCTCCGGTGTTCTACAATTACTCTGAAGTCATTTAATTTAAAGAACTCTGAACCTGAAATGTTCACTTACGTATTTATCCCATCGAAATAAATGAGTTAAAGCCGTAACATTTTTAAAATATAAAAGAGAACCGTGGCGCAGCTGCATCTACAGGACACCAGTCTAAAGTGCAATGCTAAGTATTCTCTGTTCCCATGGTGGAGTAAACACAGGACAATCACACAGGGTGCGCTAGTGACTGGGGGGTAGGCACATAACCCTTAGCACAAACTGCCCAATGAGGACAGGCAGGCTGCAAGCAGTTTCTATTCACATTTACTGGCGGTGGAACACTCCCCCACTGACTGCCACCTGGCTCACTCCTGCCTGGCCTTGTTTGACTTCTGCCTATGGTCACCTCAGGATCCAGAAAGGCTGAGTGCACCAAGCTCAGCAGCCAACCCAGCCCAAGGCCCTCGGCGCAGGTGGCCAGCGAGCCCCCAAGGAGAGCAGGAGCCAGGACACCAGGCGCAGCCACATTTAATTCAACACACTCACACCTGACAGGCCACGTGCATTTCATAAACCAAAACACTGTCATCTTTTTTGCAGAAATGTTAAGCATATCGTCCAAAGGAAGAAAATAAAATAAAAATTCAAAGGGTTTGTGCCCAAAAGCCACCGAGTCCCACGTGGCCAACTCATCTGTTCCGGGGCTGTGCGGCCATGTAGAGCGCAACGAGGCAGTAGATGGTCCCGCCCAACGTGAGCGCCATGGTGGTCCGGTAGAGCATCCGGTCAGGCAGGCCGCGCTTGAGGTGCACAGGCACGCCGTCAGGCTTCTGCAAAGCAGGGGCAACAGGCATGCTGAGAAGATAGGCCTTACGGTGCCAGGCTACCAAGAAGCAACTTGTCTTGGCGACTAATCCAGCAACACAGGGCATGAGAAGGCCCTAATCCTTGAGAACACTGACTGAAATACTAGTGTGTATATATATATATATTTTTCTCCTATCAGTACCAGGGATCAAACTCACAACCTCCCCCTTGCTAGGCAGGCACTTATGCCGCTGAGCTACAGCCCTGGTGGCACTGGTGTATTTTTCTAAAAAATGTAAAGTTTATTAAACCCAAAGTTAAAGTCTGGAGCAACAGATTCCACATTTCTAAAGTGTTTATTATGTATTGTTCAATCAGGAAAGAAGCAAAGGGAAGTTTTTTAAAAAACCTTCTCTGGAGAAGAATTAAAAATATTGTAACACAGCACTATACGTACCCATGTTTACAGCAGAACAATCTGCAATAGCTAGATCTTGGAAACAACCTAAATGTCCATCAAATGAGGAGTGGATAAAAAAGACATGGTCTTTTTATACAACAGAATAGTGGGGCCTGGGAGATGGCTCAGTGGAATAAGCGCTTCCCTGACAAGCGCAAGGACCTGAGTTCAATCCCCGGTTCCACCCCCCCCCCAAAAACAAACAAACAAACACCAAAAAAAAAAAAAAAACCAGAATAGTACTCAGTCAGAAAGGATAAACTGGAGACTTTACATTTTTTAGAAAACAGATGAACTTCAGACCACTCTCATAAGTGAAATAAATCAGACTCATGTGTAAGCATTGCACTGTCTCCCTAGTGTGAGAAGCTGAAACAGTAAATAAAGTCTAAAATGTATAACATATTGTGAAATCAGAAGAAACGTCAAAAGAAAAGAAACTGGGATGGGGGAAGGGAGAAAGGGAAAAGCAAAAACATATAAAAAATGTGTGTGTGTGTATATATATATATATATATATATATATATATATATACCAAAAGTTAGTTGAGACAGCTCTACTACTAACTTCTCTTAATGAAAAAGAAAGGTTTGTGTTAATATTGAGACCTTTTATTTTTTATGTATTTAGTACAGAGTCTACAGGGTCTCACTATATAGATCATAGTGATGCTCCTGTTTTCAGCCACCCAAGTACTGGGATTACAGGCACGTGCCACCATGCCCAGTCTCAATTGCCCTCTCAGCACGCCCCAGGGGACAGGGCCTTCACACTGAGTAACGAAACAGCCGCTGCACTCTGCCTAAGCAGGCACTTTAGTCTGCTCAGCTATCTGGCTGACCCTTGTGCTAATTTTGTTTAGACAATACCAGTATCTTATACTCTGAGTAACTAATTTAAAGATAACAATACACACTGTATTAACTATTGTTACCCTCTTATTATCTTATTTTGAAAATTTTGGGGACTTTTTTCTCTTTAAAATAAAAACACAGCAGCCGGGGAGAAGGCTCAGCAGAATAAGTGCTTCCCCGGCAAGTACAGGGTCCTGAGTTCAATCCCTAGTACCACAAAAAAAAAAAAAAAAAAAAAAAAAGCCAATTATTGCTACAAGTCACTCCACGGCTCACAAACAAAGAGATGTACTACATAATTCCCATAGCACAGTACACTACACACCACTGCTTTGTCCATGCAATGATCAACAGCTCCACTGCAGACACTGAAAACCTATGCACCCTTAAATACAAAAACACTAACCACCCTTCCTATTACTGTATCTACCCATATAATCTTTTTTTTTTTTTTTTTTTTGTGGCACCAGGGATTGAACTCAGACCCTTGCGCTTGCCAGAGAAGCACTTATTCTACTGAGCCATCTCCCCGGTCTACCCATATAATCTTAATTTTGGGCTCAAACTAAAATTAAGATGGTTTTGCTGGGCACCATAGTCCACACCTATAATCCCAGCACTTGGGAAGCTGAGGCAAAACTGTTGCATGTTCAAGGTCAGCCTGGGCTACAAAGTGAGCTCAAGGCCAGCCTGAACTATACAGCAAAACCCTGTGTCAAAAAAAAAAGGAGGGTTTAGAGGTCTGTTTGTTTTGTTTTTTTGGGGGGGAATGTTTTATTTTTACTTTTTAAGCCAAGGTCTCACTATGTATGTTTCAGGCTGGTTTTGAACTAAGTAGCCCATGCCTAGCTGAGAACTGTTTTTAAAGAAAAAGGTTGGGTAACGAACTAGAGTAAGACTCCGTTACAGGAAGGATTTTTAATGTCTATTTATTTCACAGACTTCTCTGTTTCCAAGTGTCTCCCCTCACCTGGAAAAACTTCTGCAACTCTGGCACTTTGTTCTTCCCAGCATAATCATATGTAGGGTAACTGGAGGTCAGTTTAGTAGGCGTGGCAAATATGATGGGTGGTGCTTCTGTGGAAACCACAGGCTTTAGTCCCTGTAGGGAAAGAAAGGAAAGCAGAAGTTGAAAGCACAGGCACCTAACAAACCTTTCATGGAGCAGGCTGCCTGAAGAGTGAAGGCAGCCTTTCAACCACAATAGAGGGGCAGAAAAGGTCTCTTCAACCCTGCAATACAAGCCTTTAATTGGTCCTCAAACTTCTGACAAAACATCCAACGTGCTTTCCCACAGCAAACCAACCATCACTACAGCAGAGACAACTAAGACCCTATTCAAGCTTCCAGAAATACCTGCTGTGTCTATCCTCTTTTCAAGTCACTAAAACATTTATAATCTGAATGAACTTTTAAATTTCATATTGTGGACTGCTGGACTGTGTTGGGTTGTCTTGCTGAATTCACGCACTTTTAGTATCCAGATGCCAATGGAATACCCACTTCTGACAGGACTAAACAAAAAAAGGCAATACAAAGGAAGGACCATTTTGTATCTACATATACAGAATAGTTAGGATAGATGTTATGGTTTGTGTCTAGGTGTCCCCCCAAAGGCTCATGCAGTCTTGGGGGGGCTTCTGGAGTTTGTGATTGATTACTGTGGGTGTGGATGCTGCACCTGCCCTGGGGCACGTAATGTGCATTACAATGTAAGGTGGGAAGAGAAGCTAGGGGCTTGAGCTGCTGCTACCCCTCCCTTGTGCTCTTGTTCTTTACCTCCACCATGAAAGGGCCCTCTGCCTTGGAGCCAGCTGAGTTTGGACTGAAACATCCAGTAACTGTGAGCTAAATAAACCTTTCCTTCCTTCATTTTGAGTGTCGGGTATTTGTCCCAGCAATGAGAGAACAGTAACTAAGACAATAGATATACAGCTACTTTCGCTTAATTCAATGAGAAGATTTGTACTAATAGTATTTGGACAGGCTATCCTGCCTGCTTCTTGTACTATGGATAACCACTAAGAAGATAACAATGTACAATGTATTAGTTATTGAAACTGTCCTATTAATCAGTTTTGAAACTGTCTCACTGATATGCTTCTCAATAAAATAAAATTTAAAAAAAGAACTTTTACATTTCACAAGGGACCTGGGTGTCCCTTTGCTCCTCTTGAGTGAGCAATGTACTAACATGGAACATCTCACTCCAGAGCAGTCTGCAGAAGCTTCCACAGGCACAGTAAAGAACTCTTCTGGCTGTACCCAGATGCCCCCCCCCCCACCAACACCTCAGGTGGTCACAGGTGGGGCTTCTCAGAGGTGGCTGGACCTAGGGTATGAGAAGCTGAGATTAATGTTGCATGCTGGGATTAAGGGTGCCACCCCCCCAACCCACCCCTTGTGAGTGCTACTTACCCTGAAGGGGGGTGGTCTGGATGGAATATGAGACAGAAAAGGCTACTGCACTCACTCCCCACCACTGTGCTTCACTGCTGGTCTACTGCTCTTCTGCCTGCTCTGTGATGCCCCTCTGCCATGCCACCCTACATTAGCTATAATGGACTAAAGCCTCTACAAACTGGGAGCCTAAAGAAAAACCTTTAACTTGGGGTGTTGGGTATTCTGTCTTGGCAGCAATACAAGTAACTTAAGAACTACTTCAATCTAATGGAAAAGAATCTTGCCTTTCAGTACAATAACCAAAATACAAAAAACAAAACTTAAAAACTAGCAGCTACCCATACATCCTCTATCAGGGGCAGTTGTCCTCTTCAACCAAGAACACAGCTTTGGGAAGGACGCTCATGGAAACACTGGTGGAGGAGGAGGCGGACACCCGTCTTGCCAGCCAGATCAGCCGATGCAACCCTGGTGATCTGTCAGACGGCCCTCACACCCACCTTTTTAGGGTGATAAAAATGCTCTATAGCCTATTATCACGCCAAAAGGCCTCAGTGTTCTGCTATGGGGCTTCTCCACACTGGCAAGGCTGGTCTCAAATTCTCTGGCTCAAGCGATCTTCCCACCTCAGCCTATCAAGCAGCAAGGTCTGCAGGGCTACTTGATGACACCCAACCTAAACTACTGCTGTTCTACACTTTTACTGGGTGAACTGTATAGTATTCAGGTTATACCTTAGTAAGTTGTTTTTCTTTTATATTTTAGGGAAGGGTCTACAGGGTGTTCAAGGTCTTACTAGATCGGACTCATAGTGATCTGCCTGTTTACAGCCTCCCAATAACTGGGATTACTAACCCACACCACCATGCCCAATCTCAATCTCCATCTCAGCAGTCCCCTCCCCCACACCCCAGGGCAGGACCAGCATGGCAGGCCCAGATCGAACCCCCAGGCCCTGCACCTGCTTGCAGGCACTTTAATCCACTGAGCTATTTGGCCGGCCCTAAAATGATTTTTGTTTTGTTTTGTTTTTTTTTCTTTTTAAGAAACTATGGGGAGGGGCTGGGAAGATGGCTCAGTAGAATAATTGCTTCCCTGGCAAGTGCAAGGGCCTGAGTTCAATCCCTGATTCTGCCAAAAACAAACAAAAAAAAGAAACTATGGGAAATTCTAGACTTTTATCTGAAGGAGTAAATCTATGATAACATACATAGATTGTTTTCCAAACTCACTTGCCAATTAAAATGAGGCACTACAAACCTCTAAAATTATCCTTCTGTATTACATTCTCACCAGGAAAAGCACAATTCTAAAGTTGGCAGGTAGAGTTCAAAGCAGGCCTCTTCATTTTACAGATAAAGGCCTCTTCATTTTACAGATAAAAAGTTTATAATCCCAGCTGAAGAGACGCAGCCCAAACCCAGGCACAGTGTGTTTGGGAGAGCTTCTGCACTCCCCTGCGCCTGCTGGATCCCTCCGGACCCAGCCCAAGCCCAGCATACAGGCCTGATGTGAAACTCTGCAGCTGAAGTCCCGGCAGAGAGGCTAGGGGCCAGAACCACCCAGCTAACCCAGGAGCAGAACATCTTGCCAGAGGGGCACAGCAGGTTCACTTCCATGGGCTGCAGCAGGAAGAAGCTGAGTACCGCAGCCAGGCCCAAGCCAGGCCCAACTGGATCAAACTTCACAGACCCAGCGGAAGGTGAAGCAGGAGGATCACAATGAGTTTGAGGTCAACCTGAGCTACACAGTGAGTTCAAGACCAGCCTGAGCCACACAATAAGACCCTGTAGTAAAAAAAAAATGATCCATGTTGTTCCTACCAGGTAAGCATTGAGATCAACAAAACAAAAACAATGGTATTGAAACAAATTTAGCTTCTATTTTTTCCCAACAATCTAAGTGGCACTAGCCTGATTTTCTTACTATGCATATATCCATTTGATATATGCATATATCAATTTGGCCGGCCAAAGAGCTCAGCAGATTAAAGTGCCTGCTTAGGCAGAGTGCTTCAGGCAACCGGGGTTTGATCCCAGGCCTGCCACCAGCCCCCTCTGGGGTGAGCTGAGATGCAATTGAGACTGGGAGTGCTGGCACGTGCTTGCAACCCCAGCACTTGGGAGGCTGAAAACAGGAGAATCACTATGAGTCAAATCTATATAGTGAAACCCTACAGACCCTGTAGACCCTACATGAAATACAAAAAAAAAATATATATATATATATATAACACACTCAAGAGGAATCAGAGAGGGAAAACAGGCCCAGCTCCTGCAACAGCAAGGCTAGGAAGGAGCCCTACTTGCACTGGAGTGATAGCTCCTCCTCCAAATCACTCTGAGCTCACTGCACTGTCTCCTAATAAACACCCCAAATGCAAAAATTATACAGCATTTTCTACCAAGCATCTCCAAAAATAGTTTGAAAGTAAATTCACGTTTTGTTTTTTGTTTTGGTTTGGTTTTTTGGGCAGAACCAGGGATTGAACTCAGGCCATCTCCCCGGTCCCTAAATTCACGGTTTGACAGGACTCATGTGAGAACATTTTTAGAAGAGATTTTTACATCTAATTTTGTTTACCTACCCAATGATTCAAAATGCAGCAAAGTTTTTGAACAGCATCATTGAAAACAGGAGTATCAACCATCCTGACAGTTTTAAATAATTCCATATTTCCATTATGACATCACAGAACTTTTTTTTTTTGTGGAACCGGGGATTGAACTCAGGCCCTTGCGCTTGCCAGGGAAGCGCTTATTCCACTGAACCATCTCCCCAGCCCAGATACAGAACTTTTAAATCAGGGACCAGGAAATAGCTCAGCAAAATAAGCGCTTCCCTGGCAAGCGCAAGGGTCTGAGTTCAATCCCTGGTGCCACAAAAAAAAAAAAAAAAAAAAAAAAAAATCACAACTTTTAAATCACCTATGATCAGGCTGTGTATGGTGGTACAAGCTTGTGATTCCAGCACACAGGAGACTGAGACAGGAACATCATTGCAAGTTCCAGGCCAGCCTGGGCTACAAAGTGAGAGCAAGGCCAGCCTGAACTGCATAGCAAGACGTCACGAAAAATAAACAAATGGAGGGCCAGCAGATTAAAGCACCTGCTTAGGCAGACGCAGAGACTGGGGTTCAATCCCCGGTGTGCATGCGGGCCCTGCCCCCAGGGCGCCCTGAGACAGCGATTGAGACTGGGTAGAATATCTTATGCCTATAATCCCAGCATTTGGGAGGCTGAAAACTGGAGAATCACTATGAGTCCAATCTGTGCAGTGAGACCCTGTAGACCCTGTACTAAATACATAAGAAAAAATAAACAAATGGGGCCAGCAAAATAGTTTGGAGGTCTAAAGCGCCTGCTTAGGCAAGCTCAGGCAAGCACAGGGACCGTGGTTCAATTCCCAGCACCACATGCGCCAGCCAACCCCGCCACAGGGTGAACTGAGCCTGCCACAAAATAAAATAAACAAGTGGGATGGGAAGATAGATCAGCAGTCTAAAAACCTGCCTGGCAAGCACAAGGACGCAGGTTCGATCCCCATGACCCCCAGAACCCAGGGTGTGCATACCATGCCCACCACCAAAACTAGGCATGGTGGCACATGCCTGTAATCCCAGCAATGGGGAGGCAGAGACTGAAGGATCACTATGAGTCTGAGCTGTGTAGCAAGAATCTGTACCAAATAAATAAATGATTATCAAAAAAAAATTTTAAATAGCCTATGATCTTATCCCATCAATTATTCTGAATTGTAAACTCACCCCATCCTTTCCATTTGCTTAATGACTTTATAGTCATATAAAATTCTGTATTCTGCTTTAATTTATAATAATCATTTTTTCACATCCCTAATCTTCACAAATGACAGTAAATTAACTTTTCACAATGGCCCTTTAAGTGTTATCAGTCCACGTTGGAGATTATTATAAAACAGCTCAGAGGTTTCCGAAGGAAGATGAGACTGAGATATTCTTATTAGCCATAACATCAATGATTCAGCTGTGCTGGCTCCAGATAAAAGCAAAGATAGTTTTTGGGTCTTTTTTGGGGGGGAACCGAGGATTGAACTCAGGCCCTTGCACTTGCCAGGCAAGTGCTTATTCCACTGAGCCATCTCCCCGGCCCCAAAAGCAAGGATGGTGGGAGGTACCCCACCGACCCATGAGAAACCACCCAACAACTTAAAAGCTGTCAGCATACCCAGGATTTCAGCGCAATGAGCTCACCAATTTGAGGCTTCTCAAGAGTTCCTGGACAGGGAGCTCAGGTATTGAGAGGAAGGGCCCCAAGCTAAACCCCTATGCCCACCTCAGGGCTGCACTGCCCCATCCTACAACTGTGGGTTTAAATGGCCCTCATCGTTTCAGTCAACAGTGATGCCATCCTTCCAGGTACTCAAGCTGAAAAATCCTGCAACTACTGACAGCTGTTATTCTCATACTGCAAACCCTTTAGGCTCTACCTTCAAAATATGCTCAGAATCTAACCCCTTCTCTCTCATCTACACTCTAGGCCAAACCTCTGATTTCTACAACTCCCCTAACTAGTCTCCCGGCTAAAATTACAGGCATGCACCAACATGCCCAGCAAAATGGTTTACTTTCAGAAACCTATGAACAGGGCTGGTGAGATGGCTCAGTGGTCTAAAGCACCTACTTAGAACAAGCTTAACAAAGCACAGGGACTGCGGTTCAATCCCCAGCACCACCTGCCAGCCAGCCCCACCCCCTGGTGGGCTGAGCTGCCTCCCCACATAAATAAATAAATAAAACCTATGAACAATTTCACTCTGCCTTATAACTAGAAACTAGTTTCAATCCACAATGATTAATTCATTTCCAACTGCAAGATGGAAATCAACAACTCTACACACCTGATACACTGCATAATTTCAAACGGGAGCTTTGGACTAAAAACTTGTGTACTGAAATAAACCTTGCACTCAGAGCAGGGGTTACCTTAAGATGCATTTGGTTATAGATAGGACTTTCAGACTTTTAGAATCTTAGCATATCCAAACCACTCACAAGCACCCTCAGTAGCTGTCTCTGTGGAAGGTGCCACCCTTCCTTTCGCCTGTCAATAGGCAGTCCCTTCTTCATTCCCAATCTCACCAATAAGACGACAAACTCCATCACAAATATATGCACAGTTACTAAATTCCTATCCATTTCTCAGAAAACTAAGTCCTATTATCACAGACCCTTAGCAATCCACCTGCACCACCCACAAAGAAGATCATCACCTCAATGTTCTCTTCTAGCCCACTTTCCCCTTCACTCTTAGTTCCCTGCACCGAGAATGTCATCCTGTCATTGTAACTAGGACAAGATCTGCTGGGTCATATAAGAAAACTGTGTTTCTTATTTTAAGAAAACTACCCAACTGTTCCAGAGTGGCTGTATCATTTTACATTCTCACCAGCAAAATAAAAGGATTCTAATTCTTCCACAGCCTCAACAATCCTATTTGCTATGGTCTGGTTACCATACTAATTAAAGACATTTTTGCAGATGGGAAGTGGTACCTCATTCTGGTTTTCATTTGTGGTTCCCTAATGATTAATGATATAAAGCATCATTATTATATTCATTGGCCTCCATTTTTTTTGTGTGTGTGTGTTTTAGGGAAGGGTGTACAGGGTGTTCTGGGTGTCACTACTAGATCGTAGTAGTAGTGATCCACCTGTTTACAGCCTCCCAAGAGCTGGGATTACAGGTGTGCACCACCACACCGACTTAATTGCCATCTCAGCGTGCCCAGGGGGTGGGGCGGCACAGCAGGCCCGGGAGTCAAAACCACCTTCCCCCTATCTCACCCCTACCTCACCCCTGCCCCTGCCCCTGCTTGCAGGCGCTTTAATCCACTGAGCTATTTGGCCAGCCCCCTTGGTCTATTTCTACACAAGACACAGAAAGGTCAGGAAAATGGTTTTTAATCACTGGCAAATATTCTCCCAGTAACTACTTGCCAATAACTTGATTACAACTCTGTACTGTTACAATACCAGCTTTTCCCTATTAGGTTACTGACTGTACGTTTGGTCATTCACTTTGCATAATACTAAAACTTACCAACATCTTCATTTTATGATGTCCTAAAATTTCCAAAAAAGGCAAAGTTTAAATACACCTAACTACCAAAATCAGAACACTCAGTTGGGATGGAGAGCTGTAACAATCATCCTGAAATCACAATTCATATAAAGCCTATAAAAATGGTTTAACAGTTTACCTTTTTCTTCCCCAATACCGAAGTCCCTTGCATTACACTCAATTCCAGGCCCCCTTATTTTCATAATTTTACTTTGGAACACAGCCTCACTAAATTGCCCAGGCTGGGCTTGACTTTTGAATCTTTCTTCCATCCACCTCAAAGGATTCTGGGATTACAGGCTTGTGCTACACTGCCGGGCTAATTTAAATCTGTTAAATTCAAATTCTCAAGTAAAACACAATACAAGAGGCGCTAAAAGTCTGAAAGTTCTATCTATAACCAAACGCATCTTAAGGTAACCCCTGCTGAGTTTAAGCTTTATTTCAATACACCAATTCTTAGTCCACAACTCCCGTCTGAAATTGTACTCACAAAAAAAAAAAAAAAGGAACTTGGTCATGGTCGCATAATTAAAACAGCAAAAGTCAATATTGGGGGCTGGTGAGATGGCTCAGTGGTCTAAAGCACCTACTTAGAACAAGCTTAGCAAAGCACAGGAACCACGGTTCAATCCCCCAGCACCACATGCCAGCCAGCCCCGCCCCTGGTGGGCTGAGTTGGCCACACACACACACACACACACAAAATTTTAAAGTCAGTATTTGAGCCCCAAAATAAATGGCGCTCTAAAGGAAATCTCACGTTTACACCACTCACTCAAGATGAAGACTGAATGCCAACTGGTAGATTTCAGTTACGCCCACCCAAATAACAGTATTGTTAACCACCTACAGCCGAGGAAGTGTAACCTCGTTGCATGTCACTTCCTATGCTCCGGCCAGCAATGTCAAGGAACCCATATTTCCCAAATTCAGATCAGACCACACTGCCCGTCCTGCGCCATGACTTCCAGGCGCAGGCATTCTCTACCTCGTAATCAGATGAGGGCGGCTTGGGGGCCATGGCTGGGGATCATACCGGCATGTCAGGAAGACCAAGCCAGATTTGAACGGTCAGCGCCGCGTCTCAAGCTCAGGTGAATCATATTTTGGGCCCGACGAACGCCACGAGTCATCCATCTTACGCAAAAGTCCCGGGGTCACCTTGACCCTTGCACAGCGACACCAATTTCTGTGCTGGGCCAACCTCGCCTAGGACACAACTACACGAAGAGAAGCCGAGATGACCGCGGCAGGCCTGTGTGTAAAGGTACCAGGAGGTGCGAGCGCACCAAATCCCTGTACAGGCAGAGGCCCGTCTGGAATGACACTGACACAGCCTGGCTCGGACGCTCGGGCCGCCTGTCCTGTTCAGGCCGGCGCCGCGCGATCTGTACCTGCGGGTTATAGGCCTCCGAGGCCCATGCTCCAGCCAACTTCTGCGTGAAGCCACTAAACTTGTAATACATGGTCGCTGGATTCCGCTGCCCACAACCGCTGCCCGCGCGACCGACCTAGGAAAGGACCCCACCTCCCCTTTCGCCGGCCCAAGGCGCAGCGCGAGGCCCCCGCACCACGGGACCGGCTGCCCGGAGAGCGCCTGACTTAAAACGTGGGCCCTTAGGCCGTATTAAGGAAAGAGAATTCTTGAGGTCACGACCGATAAAGACAAAACTGCTCTAACACAGCACGTAGAATTGTGAAATCTCGATTCTTAGACAATACAAGTGACCCTCTCCTGCCCCATTTAGGTTCCGGCAGTACCAAGATGCCTTAAGAAATGCGCAAGCGCCTCACTGACAGTCTGGCGGCAGCCGCACCTCTTGGTCAGGTGGGACAGCCTCTGGGCGGGGTCAGAGTAGGATGGGGCGGGGCCAGTGGGATGGGGCGTGGTCGGGATGGGGCGTGGTCAGGATGCGGCTGGGGCTCCGCGCCTGGTCGCCCGAGTTTAACCTAGTTTTACCTTTTTTCCCTCGATCTATCACCTAGTGAGGCTGGACGCGTCGGCCAGGTCTCCCCTGGCAACCTACAAGTCGGAGCGGGTAAAATTGGAAGCGCCTACCGAGGGGCTGTTAAGGGTTTCTACTCGATAACACGGAAATAGCTACAGCTTCGTGAGCTTTGTGCAGAAGACGTGTGCATTGGACCAGGCTTCAGACACCCAGGATGTAAAATTTGTAGTTTCTCAGAATTGGTTTTTAGTCTCACCTGAGTTTTATGGGAATTGTTTACAAATCATTTTCCAGATCTCTACTTTTTGAGATAAACCAGTGGGACGAGTGGTGACTTGTGAAGTTTGGCCCCGAGGCCGGAAGGATCTGGTACTGTCTTCAGTTCTGATAGTATTCAGTTCAAAGAAGAGGTGTTTTTAAGCCTCCACTGTCTGTAAGGCACTGTATTAAAGGAGTAAACTAGTTTCTGCCCATGTGGGATGGAGCGGGGCTTTTCTTAGCTTTATCATCCACCTAGGGCTTTACACAAGCACGTTAGTGTTGCGTTATACTACATCTATGAAAGCATGTGGCAAACCGATAGACGACACTAGCCTTGATCCAGAATTCTCCATATACTTACTTAATCTCTACAGCAGGTAGGTGCTGGAAGCCCCGAGAAATGAAGCAACTTGCCCTGGTCAGCGGTTAGTCCTCAGACTCAAGCACCGATTTACAGATAAACAGATACAAATCCACCCTGAGGAGGATCGAGGCTGAGACTCCAGAGGTGTACACTAGCATCCTGGCTTAGGCCCTGCTGACCCCAAATCCTCAAGTATTCATTTCCTTAGTCTGCTGGAGAGCAGAGATTTCGAGATTCATGTGCTAAACCAATGCAAATTTGCTGCTTTTACAAAGCCGTGCTATTAAAAAATAAAAAATTAATTTTTTTTCTAAAAAACCTGTACCCGGGCATGGTGGAACAAGCCTATAATCCCACACTCCAGGAGGCTGAGGCAGGAGGATTACAATTTCAACTGCAGCCTAGGTGATTGAAGCCTTAGCAAAACCCTGAAGGCTATCAAGGCTTTGCTCACAGTAGCCCACCCCACTTCCTCCAGAGTGTGCTTTTGCATATTTTGTTTGTTTGTTTTCCTTGTCTTTCTGAGACAGGGATTTGCTATGCACTTCAGACTGGCCTTGAGCTCACTTTGTAGCCCAGGCTGGTCTTGAACTCTAAAGGATCCTCCTGCCTCAGCCAGCCAAGTGCTGGGATTATGGGCATGCACCACCACGCCTGGCTCAGAGTGTGCTTTACCTTGCCTTTTCCTCTTTTACTTGGTCCAGGCCTAAACTCACCCTGCAGAGCCCATTTCTCCTTCAGATTTTGAAATAGACTTTGCAGAAAATAAAATAAAAAGGGCTGGGCATGTAGCTCCATGCAAAATCTCTGGGTCTAATCTCGAGTTCTCCCCCAGCCCAAAGTGATTTGGGTTTGAGTTTTAATTTTGCTACAGCTGAATGATTTGAGTAGTCCTTTCCATTTTCAGAACCTTCTTCACCCCTTTTATAAAGTAGTAATCATTTCATCATATCTACCCTCACTAGCAGTCTAAGAATAAACAAGTCAAAAAATTATAAATTTTGGGGCTAGGGAGATAGCTCAGTGGAATAAGTGCTTTTTGTGGATCTCTGGTACCACAAAAATAAATAAATAAATAAATAAATAAAAATAAAGTTTGCTGATCTTATCTTTGGTCACTTTTCCATGGTTTATGTGTATATATAAGAATGTTTTTTTTTTTTTTTTTTGGTACCAGGGATTGAACTCAGGACCTTGCACTTGCCAGGCAAGTGCTATTCTACCGAGCTATCTCCCTGGCCCTATAAGAATCTTAGGGGGCTGGGGAGATGACTCAGTGGAATAAGTGCTTCCCTGGCAAGCACAAGGATTTGAGTTCAATCCCTGGTTCCGCCAAAAAAAAAAAAGAAGAAGGAGAAGGAGAAGGAGAAGAAGAAGAATCTTAAAGTCAGACATAGTGGAAGATGCCTGTGATCCCAGCTACTCAAGAGGCTGAGTCAGAAGAATCACAAATTTAAAGCCAACCTGGACAACTTAGTGAGACTGCCTGAAAATAAAAATTAAAAAAGATTAAAAGAAAGAAAAAAGGCTGTTGACGTAGCTCAGCGGAGAATGCTCACCTTGCCTGAGCAAAGCTCTGGGTTCAGTCCCTAGTTCTGGAAAACAAAATGGGCTACCATACATCTTGGCTACTCTAAATTAATGAAATACTGCAATCCCTCATATTAAGAAGAACAAGCTTGCTAGCAAACAATGACTGGAGAGTCAAGTTTTGAGAGTACAGAGGAAAAGGGAAATTAAATGACTTAAATCAGACTCGAATCTCCATCGCCCTGTCTTCTGCACACATTTTGGAACATGAAGGAGAAAGTGTTCCCCAACTTTTAGTAGCACTAAGGTGTAGCAGGTTCCTGAAATACAAAGGTGTCTGTCAACATTGGTTGTTTTCTTAAAGTCCCTGCCATCTGATTTTAGATCCTGCAAGACATAAATTAAGAATCCTGAGAATGTTACAACAGCCGGGCTGTTCAGTGGGAGATAAAATGTCAGTAGCAGAGTGTGGGCTGGGATGTCACATGGAGTGGCTGATCAGGGGAAGATTTTGTCTCATTTCCCAAATAAAATGCAGCACGCTGACAGCGCCGAGGCACCCTATTCCCATCCGTCTTTGCACATCCCACCCGGCATCAGAGACGGGCTTTTTCTGCTTTATTGTGAGCCCTTCGGGTTGTTGCCCAGATCCTGTGCTGAGGAGACATGGCCACAGCCAAAATGTGGAGAGGCCTGGCGTGTGAGCAGCAAGGGCAGAGCCGGCCAGGCTGAGCCCCGGACACAGAGCAGGTCACGAAGCCCCAGTGCAAATGGCCTCAGGAAGGCTGCTCTGTGAGCGCGTGGGGAATGAAGGGGTGGGAAGCCAAGAGAAAATGTAAATCGGGTTATACTGAATATATATAGGAACTGCCATTGAAACAATTCCTGATTTTTTCTAAATTCTCTTAATTCTCCCAGAATTCGCTTTTTAAAAATTGGGTCTGGCAGAGTTAAAAGATGCAAGCCTTAGGTGGTGAGCTGGTTAAGGGCCCTCTTTCTGACCCTCTCCACCCCTCCCAGTCTTCAGGAGGCCTCTTCTGTCACCTGGCTTTGGGGTCACCTGTCGGGCAGGCATATAGCTACAAGCACTTGTTTCAGAGGTATTGCCCATGAAGAAGCAAGCTCCAGGAGAGAGGGGCCCCCAAGAAGCTCTGCTCTGCCTCACTTTGTTTGCAGTGTAATCTGCAAACTGAAGAACCTTCTTAACCCGGGGAAAGACGTGTGCGTATGGTTTTTACCTAAATGGAATGTACCCAGCGCACTGTCACAGCTGCACACTGCCCTCTCAGCTGTGGGGAGTGTGCCTACCCCCCAGCACCAAAAGGAACTAGAGGTACACATTTTGCCAACTGTTACAACCCCTAGCGACACCCCTCAGAAAAGCATCTCCCATACAACACTGGAAAGCAAACCGGAGAACCAAATTCACTTTATGACACTTGGAAGGATGACAGCCTGCTGTGCAATTATTCAGTGATTTTCACGTGGCAGAAACCTCAGCTGTCATCTTTTTGTCAAAGGAAGCCTTATCTGTCGTGGAAATTTTGCCTCTGAAACCTGAAATCTACGATTCTGTTGATACCGAAAAACAACGAAAGTCTCGTTAAAGCACAGTATTTTCATAGCGGAAGAGTGGAGGGTCTGAACAACACATTGTCACCCCCAAGTAGGGGAGTTGGCAGCTGGGACTGCAGTTGCTGGGACAGCTTTATTGCGGTTTGGGATGAACATATTGACATCAAATCCCTGCTCTGACCTTCTCGTTGTTGAATGTCAATACAGTGTGTGAGCCACCTCCCGCTCGCCTGCCTGCTTTGCGCTGTGTGCAAGTCAAAAGCACATCCAGAGAGATTATGGATTTAACTCAATTTTGACACATCACATTTCATTTCACTTGTACAGAAAGGCAGAGGTATGACTCATAATTTATTTTAAATCATCTTAAATACACTTAATTATGCATAGAAAAAAGTCAAGATCCAGAACAAAATTCAGGCGACTGCTACTTCACACTAACATCATCTAAAAAAATGTAGCATAGCATGTTGTTCTGCGCACAGGACAAAAGGAAAACTGTGTCCTTCCCTCCCATGGGGCAGGGTGGGCTCCTAATCCCAGGACAGGCTCACTTCGTGTCACGTAAGTCTGCAGTGTTGAAAGATTTTACAATGAGCACATGACTTTTTAAATCCTCCTGCCTCAGCCTCCCTTCATACCTGGATAAAAATTGGAGGTTTTGGGGCTGGGGAGATGGCTCAGTAGAATAAGTGCCTCCCTGGCAAGTGCGAGGGCCTGAGTTCAATCCCCAGTTCCACCAAAAAAAAAACCTGGAGATTTTAAAATGCTTCTGCCAGATGTGGTGGTACATGCTTTACTCCTGGCAGTCGAGGAGGCTGAGGCAAGAAGAATGCAAGTTCAAGTCCAGCTGGGAC